CCCCCAAACCTGTCCCTCCCAGCCTGTCTCTCTCTCTCTTTCTCTCCCTCTGCTCCTTCTGACCTGAAATCATACAGATGAGGGGAGGCCCATTGGCTCATTGTCTCCGCTCTGTCCCTTCCTCGGGAGCAAATGAGCCTGAGTTTTGAGGAGAGGAGGTTGCTGATTGCTTAGGGTTCTGTGTGATTGCAGTTGGAAAAGGTAGCAATGCCCTCAGTGCAGAGTTCAGAGAGCTGACTGCAAATTCTGGCGAATGGTCAGTAACATGTGTTTCTTTTTACAGTGGTGTATGAGCACAGATCGAGACTGGAACGCTCATTGCAGAAGGAACGAGGGGAGCACAAAAAGACAAAAGAAGGTTAGATTCTCCGTCAGCTTTATTGTTTATTTCCCCGCAGGATCATGTCCCTTCCCTGGCTTAGACTTCCTCACCTGGGAAGAACCCACTCACGCCTCCTCAGTTCAGTCAAGATTAATTCTGCATGGAATTTTGGTGGTGCAGTAGTTAGCACTGCTGCCTCACAGCGCCAGGGACCCGGGTTCGATTCCACCCTCGGGCGACTGTGTGGAGTTTGAACGTTCTCCCCGTGTCTGCGTGGGTTTCCTCCAGGTGCTCCGGTTTCCTCCCACAGTCCAAAGATGTGCAGGTTAGGTGGATTGGCCATGCTAAATTGCCGGTAGTGTGCAGGGACGTGCAGGCTAGGGGGGTTAGTCGTATTTTCTGAAGAAGGGTCTAGGCCCGAAACGTTAGCCTTCCTGCTGCTCTGATGCTGCTTGGCCTGTTGTGTTCATCCAGCTCTACACTTGTTATCTCAGATTCTCCAGCATCTGCAGTTCCTACTGTCTCTAGTTGTGGGAAATGTTGGGTTACAGGAATGAGGTAGGGGAGTAGGTCTGGGCGGGATGCTCTTCGGAGGGTCAGTGATCCTCGATGGACCGAATGGCCTGCTTAAACACTTGTAGGGATTCTAAGATTTCTAAGAAGCAGGCTGCAGCGTGCAGCCTGTTCAAAATGACACACGGAAAGCTTGAATTTTCGAGATGCTTTGAGAAAATTGTAGTCTGCCTGACTGCACGGGGATAGTTGTGTTAACCCCTGCGGCACTGAGTTGCAGAGAAGGTTTCGGATCTATTTCTGGCCCACGTGCAGTTAACCAAAGCTAAGGTGCAAATTATCCTGATTTATTATCCTGCGGCTCCTACTGGGAATGTTTGAGGCAGTGGGAAATGTTGTTTACACTGGGCTCTCTCACTGGGTTGCAATGAGGCACAGGTTCGCCAGCATAGTCTCTGCCTGGGCTACTGGGTCCCCAAGGTGAGGCCCACTAAACTATTCCCTGTTGCTATTTGGTCAGTGCTGTAGGATGGAGAAATAGCCCAGGCTGCCATTATCCCTGTCGACTGGATGAGAAGAAACTTGTTTTGGGTTTTTGGTGCAGCCAGAATGTATTTTTGTTGACATTCAGCTAATTATAGGATTAGAATACAGAACCGGAGACGTTTGTTATGTCTGCATTTGGGTGGGGTGTGTTTGACTGTAGGGAACAGAGGCAAGGCTGATCCTGGGTTCCTACATTAGGAGTAAACATTGAGCAGGTTTCTGGGTGAATGAACTGTCACAGGTCAGTTCCATTCAGTTGTGCAACACTGCAATGTGGAGCCATCTGGTGGACACACAAATGACCACAGCAAGAAAATGTCGAAAATTTAATTCACCCGTATCCCCTCACTCGGGGAAATATCCCAACCAGGAAAACGGGAGCAGCAGATGCATGAGAATCATAGAATTTCTAAAGCGTAGAAGCAGGCCGTTCGGCCCATTGTGTCCACACGGGACCCTCCAAAGAATATCCCACCCAGACCCATCCCATCTCGCATTTCCCATGGCTAACCCACCTAGCCTGTGCGTCCCTGGACACTATGGTACAATCCACCTAACCTGCACATCTTTGGACTGTGGGAGGAAACCGGAACACCCGGAGGAAACCCACACAGACACTGGGAAAATGTACAATTTCCGCACAGACAGTCGCCCGAAGGTGGAATCAAACTCTGGACCGTGGTGCTGTGAGGTAGCTGTGCTAACCACTGAGCCACTGTGATACCATTTGGAGGCCATTCGATGCCTGCACTATCCCTGTAACCCTGAATTTCCCATGGCTAACCCACTTAGCCTGCGCACCCCTGGACACAGTCGCCCGAGGGTGGAATCGAACCCGATCCCTGGCTCAGTGAGGCAGCAGTGCTAACCACTGAGCCATCCATGATGGTATAAATTTTCCTCCAAGCCATACATATCCTGACTTGGAAGTATGTTGTTCTTTCATTGCTGCTGCAGCAAAATCCTGGAACTCCCTTCCAGCAGTATCTAGGGCCCAATGCCCAGGGTTGTGCGGGAAGGGCTGGCACTGGGACAGGTTTTGGGGCCCAGACCCCAGACATCAGACTAGGAGCAGCACAAGGGCCCATGACTTTTGTCCCAGCTAGCATTCCGTCTAATTTTTTTTTTTCCTTCAGCGCAGACCCCTAGGTCTGTTTGAGGAGTGACCTCTGGAACTGGAATCAGTGCTGTAATCTGTGTCTGTACACTGGTCACCATGCCCGTGTGGAGCTGAGTTGCAGCTTAGAGGCTGCATTGGTCCCAGCCCTAGATGTGCTTTCATCACATGGAATGCAGCAGTTCAAGGCGACAACTCATTTCCTACTTCTTGAAGGAAATTAGGAATGGGCAATAAATGCTGGCCTAACCAGCAACACCCACCTTCTCTGAATGTATTTTTGTTTTAAAAAGCATCCTTTTATGTGACGTTTTACAGCAAGAGAGAATCAAAAGGCTTTTAAAAATATAGGCCACATAACCAACTCCTGGGTATGGTACATTTTAAATTTAGCCCTTTGTATTTCAGGTTTCACTGGCAGGCTTGATATGCAGAAGCTTCAGAAATTAGATCAGTTCAAAATCCAACACATCTTTCAAGGAGATGTTATCAAATTATTTTTCACTGAATTATATCCAAACTTGAATTTCATTTGAGACAGTTTTCTTCCCATCTGTGTCCCGTTCATATCAACACAATTTACTGTAATTTCCTACTTTACTGACGTCTGCCAGTTTGGATTTGAAACTCTTTGCTCCTTCAGCGAAGGCATTTACAAAGATGATTAAACAGCCAAAACCACCATACAGACTCCTGAGGAACACTACTCGTCATGCCTTCTTAGTTAGTTCCATCTCTCTGTCTCCTAATTCCCCTCCCAAATCCTTCTCCTGTGAGTAGCAGACTCTGTCCCACACAGCTCCTCTTGGTAACGAATCCCTAGGACTTTGACAGTGTCTGTGTGTGAGTGTCTGATAACTGGTCAGTTTTGGCTCCTTGGCAAAGCTCTGTTCTCCAAGTCACAAGGTTGCAGGTTCATGTCCCACTCTAAATACCTGAGCGCATTATCCAAATTGACATTTCACTGAGGAAATGCTGGAATATTGGAAATACCTTCTTTTGGTTGACACTCTAAATTGAAGTTCACCTTGCCATCTCAGGTGGACATTGAAAGATCCTGTGGCACTATTTGAAGGCTCTCATAATGTTCTGACTGATGTTTTTTTTCTTCGGTCAACATCACTAAACAACCCATTTGATCCTTTATCTCATTGCTTGTTTGTGGGATCTTGCTGTGTTTAAATTGACTGCAGTGTTTCCTCACTGTGACCACACTACAAAGCTATTTCATTAGCTCTCGAGAGCTTTCTGCAATGTCCAAAAGTTGAGTGGTGATACATAAATGTAATCCCTTTCCTTTTCCGTGCCAACAGTTCCTGCACTGTGTCAGTGTTTGAAGGGAAAGTTCCATAAACATAAAAGTTTGAACTCCACAGTGTTTCCTTCCATTTATTTTCTATGTCCCAGTTCGTGCATTAAATAATTGCCCGCCCTTCCTGGTTGTCCCCAATTGCACAGGACACAACGTATTGTTAACAAAGTACACATATACTTATACTTATTTCTTTGAAAAGGAAATCCTCTGAAGATGTTGAACTAAGTTTGAAGGACCTTTGGTATTTCGGGTGGCAGATCTGTTGGTTTAACTTCTTGCAACAGGAAGTTCTGGGAGTAGGCAGCAAGCCCAGTGCCACCTGAAAGGCAAATAGGACACAATACTTGTGAGATCCCTTCTTCATGTTGCAGTGAAATGTAAACACCTCTAATTTGGGGCTATAAGTAGACGATAGTTACTAATAAATTCTCTAAGGAAGCCAGGATGCGCTTCTTTACCCATGGATTGGTGAGAATATGTAGGTCTGTTTCACCACAAAAAGTGATTGAAGTGAATGGCATTCATGTACAGAAGAAGAAGCTTCAATAAATATGTGGGAGAAAGGAACAGAAGGTTATGTTGATGATGTTCAGTGATGTGGGTGGAACAGGAACATGTTTAACATAAACCCAAGTGTAGGTGCTTTGGGTCTCTTGGCCTGTTTCTGGCCTGTAGAGCCCAGTAGGCTAGTCTCCAGGGAACTCGTGTGTTCACAACGACTACTCAGAGACCCATGTTGCCTTTCTCTCATGTCTACCTTACACTCTCATTCTGTACAATTGTCTTCCTTGTGACTTTGCACCTCCCCAGTTCTCCAATATGATAATGAGCCCAAATGAATGGTAGTGTTTATTGTACACAATGCTGATTGGCTCCCCATTTGGGCTTCCATTTCAAAGAGATTCCCAGCATTAATGGCTGTGCCATCAGCTGCTTGGGTCCCTAACCTTCAGAATTCCTTCCCGAAACCTCGCTATTTCAGCCTCCTCCTTTCAGTTGCTCCTCAACTGAGCATCTGACCACCTCAATTCATCCTCATTTTCTGTTCTCTGACTGCAGACTATCAGTTTAATGAACATTAAAAATTGGTCACCTGTATTAACACCTCGCTCTTTTGCTCACTGTCAACTCTATTGTTTGAAAATACTCCGACCAAGCTCCATGGGTCACTTTACATAAAGACATCGAAGACAGGAGCAGGAGTAGGCTATTCAGCCTCTCTACTCCGCATGGCCATTCAATATGATTTTTTTTTTCCTTTATTCATTTATTGGGATGAGGGCGTCGCTGGCCAGGCAGCATTTATTGTCCATCCCTAATTGCCCAGAGGGCAGTTCAGAGTCAACTACATTGCTGTGGGTCTGGAGTCACATGTAGGCCAGACTAGGTAAGGATGGCAGTTCCCTTCCCTAAAGGGCATTAGTGAACCAGATGGGTTTTTCCGACAATTGGCAGTGGATTCACGGTCATCATTAGCATCTTAATTCCAGATATTTATTGAATTCACATTTCACCATCTGCTGTGGTGGGATTTGAACCTGTGTCCCCAGAACATTATCTGGGTCTCTGAATTAACAGTCCAGCGATTAATACCACTAGGCCATCACATCATCCTACTGATCTTGGCGTTCAACACCCAAATCCCACCCTCCCCCTATATCCATTTACCCACAAGAGCTAAATCTACCTCCTTCTTGGAAACACATAATGTTTTGGCCTCAACTACTTTGTGGCAATGAATTCCACAGGCTCACCACTCTTTGGGTGAAGACATTTCTCCACATCTCAGTCCTGAAAGGTTTACTCCTTATCCTTAACCTAGACACCTGGTCCTGGACTCCCACAGCGTTGGGAACTTCCTTCTCGCACCTAACCTGCCTTGTCCTGTTCGAACTGTATAGGTTTTCTATGTTAAAGATGTTGTATAAATACAAGTTATTATAATAACTGTGGGGAGAATGCTGGGAGGTGCAGTCTTGGTGTTAGCAGTTTGAGCAATAGCTTCCTGTGAGATTATCCATTTGCGTCTAATCTCAATCCTGCGTCAGTCCTTCAAGATAGTGACTCATTGTCAGAATATTGGTGACTGTCAGTGTAATATTTAGAATATTAAAATGATCCTCCTGTGACAGTTTGAATGTAAGTTCATCCTCATTTTCTCTTCCCTTTCTGCAGATTTTTTGGTTTATAAATTGGAAGCTCAAGAGTCATTGAACAAAGAGAAGGTCAGTGATAACAATATTCTGTAATTCTTGAACTATGCGGCTTCTCATTCTAGAACTGATAACTTTATTATCTTCAAACTTCTACCATTTAAAGGGCTTTTAAAATACAAGCCTAGCTACCATAATCTTACTTACATAATCTTTTCTCCTACTATTTTTATTTGCCGTGATATCTCACGTTACGGAGTCATAAAGACATACACCATGGAAACAGACCTTTTGGTCCAACCTGTCCACGCCGACCATGTCCATAAACTAAACAAGTCTCACCTGCCCACATTTGGCCCATATCCTTCCAAATCTTTATTATCCACGTACTTATCCAAATGTCTTTAAACGTTATAACTGTACCCACATCCACCACTTCCTCTGGCAGTTCATTCCACTAACCACACTTGTGTTAAAAAAAAAAGCTGTTCCTCATGTCCTTTTTAAATCTTTGGCCTCTCACCTTAAAAATATGCCTCCTAGTTTTGAACTCCCCACCTCAGGGGAAAAATAAACCTTTGCTACTCACCTTAGCTACGCCCTTCATGATTTTACAAACCTCTGTACGATCACCCCTCAACCTCCTACGCTCCAGTGAGAAAAGTCCCAGCCTATTTTCATAACTCGAACCATCCATTCCTGGCAGCATCCTGGTAAATCTTTTCTGAACTCCCTCCATAATTATGTAGATATTTTCTCATCAATCTGTTCAGAGATGTTATGACAGACCTCTGGAGCAGATGGGACATGAACTCCTGGCTCAGAGGTAGGGACACTACCACTGCAACACCAAAGCCCTTAAAGACTCAGACATGTCCCGTCTTGTATCCAGGCTGATATCTGGCACTGAAGTGACATTGAGGTAATGTGACTTCAGACAGACCATAAAAAGGCCATTGGCAAGTTTAGTGAGCTTTGGTTATTAAATGAAAGATTCTTCAAGTTTGATTGGCACTGTTCCTGACCTGCTCTGAAATTCACACCTAGACAGTATGAATGCTGATTTATATTAAGCTAATGCTCATGCTGCTGTGAGTGAGCTGAGGATTTTTTCACTGTATTGTGTTCTGCCCAATATTCGTTGATCACTCCCAGCCCCTTTCTTAATGATGCAGTGTGTAATGGGAGGGACAAAGAGAGGCAATTTGTGTATATTTGAACTGCGATTGAAATCCAGCCAAACTGCAGTACAAATCTGAGGTATTGCTCTGCTTCTTTTGAACTTGATCTGGCTTAGGCCTTCTTTATACCGGCAGTATTTCTCACTGACTGGACTGGGTGTGCATTTGAATGTTGAGTGATGGTGTAGGAGTGGCTGTGAACACGTTGCTAAGCCTGAGCTCTACCTAACAGATACTGAGTGGTGCACAGGGCAGTTGTGTGCCCTTGTACTGAACGAGAAACTTTCAATCTGCTTTCTGTTTCGGCGAACTGGGCCTTTGTCTTGCACTGAAGGAGATTCTGATTTTTCAGGAGACTGCACACACGCAGTGCCTGGACTGTCTGCTCAGAGAAACAAGACAGTAAACTTGACAGCTGTTCGACAGAGCCGCCACACCAGGAATCGAATCCAGACCTTCGAAGGGTGGAAATGTCTTGGGGATTCTAACAGATTATCTTGCGGTTGGTCGACGGGTAACCACAAACCAGAGCAGTCAGGAACTGATCCTGGGCTCAATGCTGCCTGTCCAAGGGTCAGCATGATTCCTCTGAGAGCAGAGGACTTCTCCTGGAGCATGGCACCGACCCCTCCCTCCTGTAGCCTGTTCCTCTAGCTCTCCCTGTTCCTTTCTGTTTCTCTACCAGTTTCTCTACTCAGTTTCACTACCAATTCTGGGTGTGCTGTTTGGGCAGAAGGATTTGGGATTTGTTTCATTCTAACACAGATTCCCAGCGTGAGACTCTCAGTAACCGAGATATTGAACTAACAACCAGTAACCTCTTCGATCCAGCCCATGTGCTTCCCTCTCTCCTTTTTCATTCTTTTGCTGTGCCTCCACCCATCATCATATAAGTGCCCCCTCTTCCTCCCCTATGCTGTCTTTCTCTCTGTTTTTCTCTCTCTCTTATCTTCACATGAGTTCTCTATTATCTCTCAGTTTGCATGTGTCTCTCCTTTTCATTCTTTCTCTCCCTCTTCCCACCCATCCTTATATGTCCTCTTTCTCCCTTCCCCTGCTCTTTTTCCTTTCATTCTCTCTCTCTCTCTTTTGCTCGCTCATTCTCTCTCTCTCTCTCTCTCTCTCTCTCTCTCTCTCTCTCTCTCTCTGTGTCTCTCTCTCTCTCTCTCTCTCTCTCTATCTGTGTGGCTGGCTGTCAGTTTCCCTGTTTTTTTTTTCTCTGTCTCTGTCCATCAGTACACATCACCTGTCTCCTTCTGTCAGTCTCCCCCCCCCCCCCCCCCCCCCCCTCCCCCTCCATCATCTTTCTGTCTGTGTCTGATTGTCAGTCTGTCTCTCTCTGTGGGTGGGTGTGTGTGTGTGTGTCTCTCTCTCTCTCTCTCTCTCTCTCTCCATATATCCTTATATGAGTCCTTTGGCCACAAGATCTCCCACATGCACTGCCATTAGCTCTTTCTGATTGATGCTTGAGCTAATTTTGGCCTAATCTTTTTATTTATTTTACTGCCTAAGTTATTTCAGAGTCGGTTAAGAGTTGAGCACATTTCTATGGGTCTGGAGTCAGACCAAGTAAGAACAGGTTTCCCTCTCCAAAGGATACTAGTGAATCTAGGTGATTTATTTTTCCTATGATTGTTGATAGTTTCATAGCCATCCTATTACTGAGATTAGCTTTTAATTCCAGATATTAATAATTAATTGATTGTAAATTCCACCAGAACCATGGCAGGATTCGAGCTGATGACCCTTGGCAGCTAACCTGGGCCTTTTGGATTCCTAGACCATTTTCACAATGTGACCATCTCTGAATAAAGTGCCAAACCTTAAACTTAGAACCAGGCCTTCTAGGACTGAATTTAGGAAGCACTTCCTCACATAAAGGATTGTGGATATTAACCCCGGTAAATCTGGTAAGAGTGGAGAATCAGTTAAAAATTGAAAAACTGAAATTGACAGATTTTTGTTCAGCTAGGCTGATACTACCAGGTGAGTTAGTTGCCTTCTTTACAACCTGCTCGGGCTGGGCACAACACAAATGTAATGATCTTTCTAGCACCCAGCTTTAGTTCACTCCAGTTAAAATGTAGTTCACCAGAAACATCAAGGAGCTCATTACAAGGTTTCTTCTCAAGTAAGAAAAGAAATTTATTATTTATTAATGCCAAGAAAAATAATAAAGATCTAACATCAAACACACACAAACAAACCTAAGTACAAAATTAGAAAGGGGTTGGTGTCCAATACAAAAGGGAAGATAAAAGAATATGCAGTCATTAGGGTGTCCTGAAGGTGTAAGGCATTAACCTGAGACCATGGCAGCTTAGCAGTATCTAAGACATTAGTAGTTGTGAAAATTGCAGATATCTTTGAGTTCTTGATATTCAGATATTTAACCAAATTGTTGTCAATGGTGCATTGTACTCCTGATCAGGAGTGAAGAGAGAACATCTTACACTTCCATTTCCCATGTGTTGCTGAAGCAATTGTTTGAAATAGCTCATTAGTATATTCTTATGTCTGGATTTATTGTATTCAACCTAAATAATTGCAGGTGAGTCTTTCATCTCCAACATATGAAACTGATCATAGAAGTGCAAATTGAAAACAGGCGATGAGAGTTTCTTCACACCTGACTTATTTCAGTAATTTTTGATAAGTGTTAATTTCAGTTCATATTGTATTGTTTATTACACCATTGATTTCCTGGAGTTTGGCTCAACCTCTGATCATTTTTAATTCACTGACATTTGTTTCCAAAACCATTTCAGTCTATGAAAGTCCCAGGTATTAAAAACAGATGATGAAAAATGAAAATTAAGTGTCCATATTTCATCACTATTGTGGCAATATTGTTAAGAAATAAAGAACCAAAGTAGGTAGATTTCATTGAAGTAGTCATGTTTATCATGATCTAAGGCTGCACTGTCAAAGATGCTACTATCAGTTCCATACTGTTGCCTCAACCTGGACTTTGATTACTCCAGAATGGAATTTAAACCTCAAATGGGATTGTGACCAACTGTGCCTGAGATTATACTCCAATCTTTAACCAGTTGAAAATTAACTTCAGATTTGCGTAGATCAAGCTTTAAGGATTCAGTTTGGAGATCAGACAAGGGAGAATGGGGGCCTTCAAGTAATATTCTGTTTGGCACGGAGTTTGGAACAATTGAGTTCATGTGATGACACAGTAGTCGAAATGGTGAACTTTACACTGTCGATCATGCATAGTTTCCCCTTCTGTATAACTGTACCTTGCTTTTTTTTCAAAAAAAAGCAGTGTGAGGCTGTAAGGAAGATCTGGATTGAGCTGAGGTTGTGTGTAGGGAGGGAAGGGGAACAGGTGGCTGTGACTGTATACATAGGATTTTATGCGTGGTGTAATGTATGGTGTTCAGTGCAGCTATATATAAAACATTAGCAAAAAGTAGATAAACATTCCGTTTGTAAAGTTCATTAATTGTACATAAATAATTGAGGATTCGATGAAATCAACCTGACAATGTACGATATATGAACTTTATTACAAAATGCAGAGTGCAATAAACTTTTCATTTCTAGTCTATAAATTAATGAAAGCCGTAATGGAATTATTCATGTGCTGAAATGATCATAATTTTGTTATCCTCTTATTATTATATATTTATTTTAATAATTGTCTATAACTGTTCTGAACTGCTGTTTGTTTTATTTGGATTGCAGTCACAATTCTTCACCTGACATCATGATAGTTTTTTTCATAAACCGATTATCTATCCATCAAGCTATCAGAAAGGGATGCTGAAGTGTAACAGCAAGAGAGAAGATACTTGCGATGTTGGAAAGGATAGAAATAAAGAGAAGTTCCTTAGAAGATTGGCACTAGTCCAAGTAGAATAGTCACATGGTCCAGACGAGTTGCACACGAGGTGTCTGAGGACGGTACAGATAGAAATAGTGGAGATTCTGACCACAATTCTCTAATCGTCCCTAGGTATGGAGCTAGTGTCCGAGGACTAGAGGATTGTAAACATTATACCATCCCTACTGAGAAACGGGAAGAGGAATAAACCCAATCTAATGTTAATGTTTAGAAAACATTTGGAGACAGCAATTCTGAAGAAAGTTAATTTAATTGTTGTGAGGTGATAAATGAAAGTCCATAATGATTTAAAGTCAGATTGTTTTTGATGAATTTGATCATTATTTTGAGTAACACCATTAATGCTGTTGATTTTGTAGAAGTAAGTTTTCAAAAGAAGTTTGATACAATCCCACCTGTTAGGAAAATTAAATGTACTCTAATGGAAATGAAAATGTTAATGATGATTAAAATACATAATGATTTAATTCTGGCCTTAGCAGAGGCCAGAGACCCTGAGAAGAGAACAATGGAAGAAGTGTATTCAAAATCAGTCTTCTCTCCAGTGGAATGTAAATAGGAGTTTGATGGAGCTTCTAAGAGCTTGACATTAGTCAATCTTGAATCAGGTGGAGTCAAAGAAGCAGCAGACTCAGAGTAAGGACAGTGTAGCTTTGTAGAGCAATGTCAAGAGTGCAGACTAAACACCCAAACCTTGTGCTAGGCCAATCCATGGGGCAGAGCAACAAAGCTTTGAATCTGAGGTCACAATTCGAACTATAGATGCAACTCAAACCACATGGAATCGAACTGACAAAAGGCCAATTGTCACTGGAAAGTCTATAATCCTCATCATTGGTTTTATTTTAGAACTAGATTGACCAGATTCGAAAGATTGGTTGTGGAGGAAGTGCCTCTGTGTACCGCTTGGCATGTGCTTATTGCTGCTGTCTCTGGAAAAGCTAAGGGCTCCAAGGAACATCATTGGAAGAAATAGTTGGCAGGGAAATAGGAAGACATCAAGAAAATTGAACTAGCTAGATTACTCTTCGAAAAATTTGTACAGACTCGATGGACCAAATGGTCACCTTCTGTGTTGTATTGTTTGCTGATTCTATAAGTGTTGTTCACTTCTCTTGCAGCAAGATGCCATGAACCGGTATGGTGCCCTAACTTCCCAGCATAAGATACTGAAGGTGAGTGACACCATAGTTACTGGAACCATCGACAAACCTGCATTTCTTCTCAAACAACAAACCCTGTGGGATTTTGGAGGTTGTGCTAGTGCCAATAAGATTGGTTGCATCGAGCCTCCATGTCGAAGGTTCGGCTAAAGTATATTAACGTGTGGAAAGCAGTGTGAGGAACCGCACAGTCCCAGCCTAATTCTCACTATGTCATGCTGTGCTGAGAAAGAAGGTCCTTCATGGACTCCAGACAGTCCTGCAGCAATTGCCTGGACCCAAAGTTCCTGCCCTGTTTTTGTACAGGCTGTAGCTTCTTTGTTCCACATTACCTACTGTCAGTGTTAGCTGGAGCAGGGATGACTCTGTGGGATAGCTGGAGGTAATTTAGAGCGATAATTGAACACATGTCTTGTTTCCACCAGAAAGCCTTCTGTTCTGAATCTCACTCATCTGTTTGGTCTTTGTTTCATGCCGCTTGTCACTTTGTTGCTCATAAGAACATAAGAACAGGAGCAGCAGTAGGCCATCTGTGCCTGCTCCGCCATTCAATAAGATCATGGCTTATTCTGAGATTATGCCCTCTGGTGCTAAACTCTCCGAGAAGGGGAAACCCCTTTCGACATCTACCCTGTCAACTCCCTCAAAAAGCTTGTATGTTTTAATAAGGTCACTCCTCATTCTTCTAAACTCCAATGAGTACAGATCCAATCTCTCCTCATAAGATGGTCCCGCCACCCCTGGTATCAGCCTAGTGATGGTGCGATTGGACTGCCTCAAATGCCAGTATATCCTTCCTTAGATAACTGGACCAAAACTGTTCAGTTTTACGAAAAGAACAAGTTCATTTTGAATGGAAAAAGTTAACTTATCAACAGTCTTGTACAGCTTTAGTCATGTGATCAGGCTGATATGAAATTGTAGTTTTCTCTAGTTGCTGCATTGACATCAATTCTCTCAGATTCTGCCTTTGGAAGTACGTGAATGACTGGCTACCAAGGATGTTGTGGGGAGCGTTTACTTTTGTCCCTTAAATTATTAATACTTCATCTCAGATCATTTTTCTACAAACTTCATAATTGGTCAATGTCATTATCAGTACATTTTAGTTGAATGTCGAGTTGCCAGTGTTGGACTGGGGTGGACAAGGTCAGAGATCACACGACACCAAATTATAGTCCAAAAGGTTTATTTGAAATTATAAGCTTTCGGAGTGCTGGTCCTTTGTCAGCTGACTTAAAGACATTGTCCTTTCAGATGACTGTTTTTTACCTATATTCTACCTTTAGCTATCTGAATTTGCACAGCCGTGTATTCTTCAGTTTTGTCCTTGAGATATTAAGACTAGAATTTCTATTTTATGCTTATTTTATCTGACTCGGTGTTCTTCCAAAATAGCAGAAGTATATTAGTACATTTTAAACTAAATGCTATTTGAAAATGCAACTCAGCCTTAATTTTTTAGAAATGATTTAATCCTTTATACTACTACTTCAATTAAAGTTAAATTGAGGTACATTATTTTGTCAATCATACATTTCTGACTGGTTGCTAATTATTAAATAAACCTGCGCATGAAGAGTTATAAAATGGCTTCAGATTGGCAGTGTTATCACAAAGTGGCACTTTCTCAAAGATGGATATTAGTGGTTCCTTTCCCTTATTAAACTTAGCAAAATACTTGTTTTGTTAAAAGTCTCAACGAATACCAGATTAACTAAATCTTAAATTATAATCCAAAACCCAGCATTACTTGGACAGCTTTCCCTTCAGTCCATACAACACAACCTCATCCAAATGGCCATTCATGGTGTGTGAGACGAGATAGTGAAGCTCTGGACTGCTTGACCTTCCAGACCAGCCTTGCCCTGTTCTCACGAGCACCCACATGCACTCAGTGTCCGACAAAGGTCCTTGGAACCTTGTTCAGGAGTTGAAAACTTCTCTATTATTTTCCCCTTCCTGAACAAGATCGTTGAACATGGCATCTGCTGGGGAGACTGCCCACATCCATTCATTCCAGTTTCTGATACACTATTCTACTATCTGGGCTAAAGTTGTTTTTTCCTATTTCACTTGTGGGACATAGATGTCTCTGGCTGGCTAGCGTTTATTGCCCGTCCCTAGTAGCGATTGATATGACTGAATGGCTTGCTAGGCCATTTCACAGGGCAGTTGAGAGTCAATCACATTGCTGTGGGTCTGGAGTCACATGTAGGCAAGACCAGAAGAGAATGGCAGCTTTCCTTCCCTGAATAACAAATGGGTTTTTCTGACAATCATTTCATGATCATCAGTAGATTCTTAATTCCACATATCTTTTATTGAATATAAATTCTATCTGTCATGGCAGGATTCAAACCTGGGTCCCCAGAGTATTAGCTGAGTTTCTGGATTAATGGTCTAGCAATAACACTACTAGGCCATCGCCTCCCCTATGTTGTATTAAGCTGGGGTTGGTTTGGGGTAAGGTGCTGTTGTTGATGCTTAGGGCTGTTAGAGTGAAATGTTTGTACCGATCCTGGAGCTGACCCTGACTACTGCCTTTACAGAACCAGCACGATGAAATAAAAAAACAGCTTTTGGATCTGCAGCTTCAGCACAACAGCCTTCGGCTAGAGCACAGGAAAGCAGCAGAGACGCACAACCAGCGCTACCTGCAGCTTAATCAACAGAAAGACCTAGAAATCAGTACCTTACAAGGTGTGTGGAAAGCATCTGACTCACCCCGGCTCTTGGGGGCCCTCTGACCTTGGAGCTGTGCACGTATCTGTCGAATAACTTATTGCACTATAACATAATGCCTCTGCCTGAATGTGTGATTTCTGTCTCTTTCATTCTCCTTCACTCCATCTTTCATGTTCTCTCCCTCTCTATGTGACTAGTCACATAGAGGATCTTTAATGTAGCAAACTGATCATGAACAGGATTTGTAACTTGAACAAAAACGTACTAAAGCACCCTTCTATGGGAGCTGCTGGAAGAGAATGTGAATCGATGAACGAAAGTGTCCTCCTTTTGAGCACTTTTGTGTGATCAGCTGTAAGCCTGAAAAAGCAATGCTGATTGTGACCGTCCATGGAACTTAAAAACTTGGCAAAACCTTGTCAGAATGCTATATCTGGTAGAATCTTCCTCGGGGGACTTAGGCAGCAGGGGAAAAGCTCCAAAACGAGGACAAATTTTTTAATGAAGATCTTGTGTTTTTGATTTTGGAATAAGACACAAAGTCTTCATCACACAATTTGTCCTCGTTTTGGAGCTTTTCCCCTGCTGCCTAATTCCCCCGAGGAAGATTTTACCAGACATAGCAGTGTGATGAGGTTTTGCCAAGTCTTTGATTTTGGAATAAAATCAAAAAAGCATTGAGCACTTGCTTAGCTGTTTGGACTTTAATGGAGATGACTTACTTGTTGTGTTTAAACATAACTGTTTCAGCCAAGTTCAGTGCAGGAAACTGGAGCGTATTTGAACTATTGGAACTTGAGAGTGACCTTTGTCATTTCCATTTTTTTAAGCCAGAATATGAAGCAGGGGGAAGGAATCTGATTTGCTGTCTCGGCTTACTTTTCTCTCTTTTCCTTAAACACGTACCACCTCCAGCTCTGCCTGCCAACCTCATGTGATTTCTGGCTTTGTTACCTGGGCTGTTCTGTCTCTCTCTTTACTTTTGCTGTCTTTTTGCTTCTTGCTACAGATTCCTCATTGACCAGAGTTTCAATTTCTTTCCTTCCAGATAGCATCAACAAGCTGAAACATGAGAGCAAGCAACTGCGGAGGGCCCATCAGGACATGCACCAACAGCTCGCCAATGCACAGGTAAAGGGGCGATGAATGAGTGGCATTTGTTCCCCTGAAGAAGTGCATTTTCCCCCTTCCCACCCAACACTGAGGTTCCCGCACTTTGTTTTCATTAGCTCCTTTCATAGATTCATCAACACAGTTGCATAATTCAGTGTAATTATAGTTTGAAGGTTTTATTTCCAGATCTATTACAACTACTGCAGTCCAGAATACTTCAGCAATCTTCTCACTTCACCCTGCTCCCTTTTTAATTCATCCATTCAATGTGGGCATCAAGGCCAGAATTTATTGCCTGTTCCTAATTGTTCTTAAGATGGTGATGGTGAGCAGCCTTCTTGAACTGTGCAGTTCACGTGTTGTAGGTAAACCCACAATGGTGTTAGGGAGGGATTTCCTGTATTTTGTCCCAGCGACACCAGAGGACCAACGATATATTTCCAAGTCAGGATGGTGAGCGGCTTGAAGGGAAACTTGCTAGGCATCTCCAACTTCAAGATGGAAGTGGTCATGGGATTGGAAGGTGCTATCTAAGGACCTTTTGGTGAATTTCTCCTGTTCACTTATCAGGATTCTCTGGCTGGGAAGATCTTTGGAATGACTCCCACATTTTTTTTTTTTGCTGGAAGTTTGGTAAAGCAGGAGCAGATTTGAAGAATTTCTCAAACTACATTTGGCTCCTCCCCTCACCCCTTGCTAACTTAACTTTTGCCCTCATGAATTGATTCAAATTATTAACCCTGAGCATATTTTGGCTCTGGGCCAAGTTATGCCCCCATTCAGTTGTTTGGGTGGATGAACATGAGCAAGAGCCCCAACACTGACTCTTGTGAAGCTCCCACTGGTCCAGCTTAATATTTGTCCTCTTATCCCAGCAGACTGAATTTCTTTTTCATGGTGTTCCATTTGGCCACTTGCCCAGCGCTCTTTGACAATTCCCAGTTTTGAACATAAACCACATACTCCCATCACCAACCCTGAAGGCTATGTCCTCCAATAATTCAACCTGGTATGGCAGATCCTCTGCCTCCTCAAATCATTCTGACAGTAAAGGATTGTTACAAAATCCCAAATGATCCATTGGTATCCCCTTTAAGCACCAAAAAGCTGCTGTCATTGCCTCGTCTATCCCATATGTGATTCCAGTCCCAGACAGAAGTCTGCTTGCCTTGTCTAAGTTTTTTTTTCTTCTGTTAACTACAGTTGACAGTCCATGCTGTCTCTCCATTCCAACCATGGTCCAACCAATCAACCATATAAATTGGTGTTCCATTTCCAAGTTTGGTTTTTTGTGTGTTAGTCCTGATGACAGCAACTCAAAAGGTTTTGACTTCATGTCTCAATTTAGCAATCACCAAATACAGAATACATTTGGTCGAAGACTAGGAATCTGTCAGGGTGGCACAGTGCGTTAGTAGTTAACAATGCTGCCTCTCAGCACCAGGGACCCAAGTTCAGTTCCACTCTCGGGAGACTGTCTGTGTCGAGTTGGCACGTTCTCCCTGTGTCTGTGTGGGCTTTCTGCGAATGCTCCGGTTTCCTCCCACAGTCCAATTGGGTGGATTAGCCATGCTAAATTGCCCATAGTGTCTAGGAATGTGCAGGCTAGGTGAATTAGCCATGGGAAATGCAGGGTTACAGGGATAGGGTAGGGAGGTGGGTCTGGGTGGGATGCTCTCTGGAGGGCCGGTGTGGACTCGATGGGCCGAATGGCCTGCTTCCACCCTTTAGGGATTCTAGGAGTTGAAAAGCCCTAATTTTACACCAGTGGAAGAGAGGATAGTTGGAGGGGAAGGTTGAACTTTACATGAATCTTGCACCTCATATTACAGATCCCTGGGCTGAAGAGATTGGGGTCTGTTAAGAAACAGGGTGACTTTGCATTATGTTTTCTAATGACGAATAGATCAAAGGTTTGCAGTATAATGTGGTGTTGCAGCGCAGGATTACTATTGGAGTCCCTACAGTGTGGAAACAGGCCCTTTGGCCCAACAAGCGCACACCAACCCTCAGAGAATCCCACCCAGACCCAGCCCCCTATAACCCACCTAATCTACACATCCCTGGACACTACGGGGAATTTAGCATGGCCAATCCACCTAGGCTGCACATCCTTGGACTGTAGGAGGAAACTGGAGCACCCAGAGGAAACCCATGCAGACACGGGGAGAATGTGTAAATTCCACACAGACAATCATCCGAGGCTGGAATTGAAAGCAGGTCCCAGGTCCCTGCTGCTGTGAGGCAGCAGTGCTAACCACGGAGCCACCATGCCACCCTATTCTGGTGAAATGTTGTGATGTAATTGCAATTTCACTATAGTTCCAACGTAGTGTTGCAATGCATCGCTGTAGATCTGATGCAGTGTTGCAGTGCATGGCTGTGGTTTTGGTGTGGTGTTTGTGGTACATGGCTGTTGTGCAATGTTACAATGCAAAGTTGTGTTTCTGGCACAGTTTTGTGATGCATGGCTGTGGACTGGCGCAGTGTTGTGGTTCTGGCACGATGCATGACTGTGATTCCGAGGCAGTCTTGCAGACTGTAGTTCTGGTTCAGTGTTGCAGTTTCAGTGTAGTGTTGTGATGCAGGGTCACAGTTACAACACGTGGTTGCTGTACAGGTCTGACATTGAAGTGCTGGATTGCAGTAATGGTATTTGGATTCTGTACAAAACTTCAGATAAGAAAATGTTTGTTAAAGATCAGCTTTATTGGCAAAAAGGACAATCAATAATTTAGAATGTAAAGTTACAAGATTTATCATTAACAAAGATTAATATGACTAATTGAGGTATGGTTTGTTAAACAAGTCCAACACAGGTTGGTCTATCTTTCTATGGATCTCAAGACTTCTGTGGTCTTCACTTGACCCAAGACATTCTTCAAGATTTTAATTTGATCAACCTAACTCTGACATAGAAACAAAATCCCTTCGCAGCTTCAACTCTCATTTCCCAGTCTTCCTTGGCTACTGTCGCCGCACATTTCTCAGAAACTTGTTGAGTGCCTCTCGCTGTATGTGTCATTGTCTCACACTGTCTGTCTCCCTCTGTCTCTCACTGTAAACTTCACAAATGCTGCTGATTGCTTTCAATAGAAAGCAATTTCTAAATGAAGTCTGTTCACTTTCTCTTAATTGTCTTTAGCTGTAATACTGGATTCTTATACTGATCTAGATTTCTTATGGCAAACCCCCCAAACCATGCCAATGTCCCTGGCAAATGCCAACTTCCTAGCAAGTGCTCCACTGCTAACTCCTAGCCCTTTCACCTGGTGACAGCTCATAGCAAGTGTCTTTTTAACAAATTCTATTCCTTTTGACAGATACTTCCCCTTGGCTAGTGCAAAGCCTTCTGGCAGGTGTCCCATTTTTTTTCCCTGTTTTGCAGGAAGCTTTTACAACATTTGGCCCAGGCAGTGTATCTGTGGCAAGACAACTCATCATATTACCTAAGTATTTATAATAATTCACCAATGGGAAGTATGTTCCTGACATCCTTACAACGATTCGATCTTAACTTTTACCTGATATCTAGCCATTGGGTCATTCTTCTGGCCAAGCATTATTCCAGTTTGTCTTCTATTTACTAATAATGCTGAACACACTGGAGTACAAATGTAAAATGCATCCAAAATTACAATCCCCTTTCACTCTTGTGTTTTTTTTCCTCCTTAAAACTGCATTACAGTATTGACACTCAAGACGAATTTAATTTAGCATCTCTTTAACAACATCCCAATAATGCATATGCATTAAGGCTGTCAGTCACTAACCTTGTGTACAGTACACTTCACTGTCTGAAGCCTTATTACTTACACAAATGTGCTAATGAGGTGATGTCTAACACAGTTCAGCAAAGGCTTGCACTGCACCACTGTTTGGCTGTGAAGAAATAGCCAGTGTCCCTTTCTAATGTAGTTTTGTTCAGTCTGTGGTGAACTGGTGATCTGGCTTGGAAAGATGGGTAGATCCTACTATGACTGTCCCTGAGCTCATTTGCTCCGTACAGATCCCCGTTGTTATCCAGTGGTGAATACTGGTCTTGAGCCTGGCTGTGTGCCAGCCTTTGCCTCAACCCCTTGTCGCACCATCTTCGTTAGGTACTGACTGTTCTTTTACGATTGATTGCTTCTGCAGGCCCAGGTGGAAGAGTACAGGCAGCTGAAGGAAGCTCTTCATGCAATGCCAAGCTTCAAAAACCCTGGACTAAATCCAGGCATTCCGCAGGAACATAGTCAGGCACGACAAGAACATCCCCGGGGTCCTGACAGAAACCAGTCACAGGTCGCTGAACAGAAGGTACAGCTAATTTAAGGCAAAATCTTCCATAGAATTTCTCTTCAAGGTTGCCGAGAAACATAAATATTAAGGACAGTTCAAAGCTCTAAGCTATCCTACTGTTGTCAAGACTGGGAACCTTCTCAGTTCCACAGCTGATAAAATTGGGAACTGCACTGTTTGAAATATTTTTGGGTAATATTAGCAAACTTTATTATCGAGAAAGACTGGATGGGAGAATCGGACAAATGCTGTTTTGTTTAAAGATAAATTCTCAGATTTTCCAGAAGTTTGTCCTGCTCAGTGTTTGCCATAAGGGGTGGATTGGCCTGGATTTGATATGCCCTCCCACCCCCATCCCAAGACACACCTGAAGCAGTGACAATAGGGGGAGTAGGGTTTGTAGGCCTGGATCCAGGTGGCAAAGTCAAGGCCAGGCTTCTGCCTCATTCCACACCTTTATTGGTGTCGAGAGAATTGGGATATTTCTCTCGATTGTACGAGTGACCTCTGCAATGAGGAGCTAATAAACCCTTAAGGCAAAGGCTGAACAGTTGACTCTCTGCCGTGATTGCCTGTTCCTTTTCTCCCCTTTGCTGTGCAAAGTGACTGGCTGTGACAATGCTGTGACATCTGAAGCTGGGTATATTTTCCAATGGGATTCTGTTTCCCGATGTCCAGTCTTCAGATTGCACACACAGTTTGGATATAGTCGGGCCTTCGGCTCATTGTAGATTTCCTCTCCCAGCATAACAATCTGCTACCCCTGTCCCCGTCAGTGCTTTAGCATCTATCAGAACAACGGATGCGAGCTTGTCTTAATTCCATCTGAAGGGTGACACCTCTGACAACACAATACGTCCTCAGGATTGCACTAAATTGTCAGCTTAGCTCAGCTCAAATTCGTTGGCCATAAGTTAACTACTGAATTGAGCTGACATCTGAAGTGACAGAAGGATGCCCAGTCCAATCATTTGCTTCTTTTGACCTTGGGAAGACTTTCAGTCAAGGATGATTGGTGACAAAACGTGGGAAACTTGGCTGTTTGCACTTGTTCCAAATTCGGCGCACCTGATTACTTTCCCACAATGCCCCTCCCTATTCACCAACTGGTTCATCTCTTTTAGTTCACCTCTCCTTGGCTCCCACTTTTTGGCTGGTGGAGGTTTCAAACTGAGACTTCCTTGAGTTACCAGAGTTGAGAGGCGCTATGTTATCTGCCTGGGATGATGCGAGTGCTGTTCATCAGGGACAGTGTCACACGTCTGCCTTTAAGCCCAGGGAAATGCTGCTGGCATTTGAAACTCAGTTCCTTGTGGAATCCTCAGATGGCCTTCTCTATTTGAGTGAACACTTAAATCCTTTAACAGGACTTGAATCCGTAACGTCTTGGCTACAGGCTAGACTGAGGCAAACTGGCTCCAAGTCAAATAAGATTCCATGCTCCAGTAGAACTGGGAAGCCCATGTATAATTACATTGAATTTTTTTGTTTTTTTTTCTATTCATTTGTGGGATGTGGGCATCGCTGGCTGGGCCAGCATTTATTGCCTGTCCCTAGCTGCCCTTGAGGAAGGCGATGGTGAGTTGCTTTCTTGAACTGCTGTGGGTTGACCCACAATGTCATTAGTGAGGGAATTCCAGGATTTTGACCCAGCGACAGTGAAGGAATGGTGATATGTTTTCAAGTCAGGACAGTGAGTGGCTTGGAGGGGAACTTGAAGGCGGTGGTGTTCCCATATATCTGCTGCCCTTGTCCTTCTAGATGGAAGTGGTTGTGGGTTTGGAAGGTGCTGTCTGAGGATCTTTGGTGAATTTCTGCAGTGCATCTTGTAGATGGTTCACACTGCTGCTACTGAGCGTCGGTGTTGGAGGGAATGGATGCTTGTGCTTGTAGTGCCAATCAAGCGGGCTGCTTTGTCCAGATGGTGTCAGGCTTCTTGAGTGTTGTTGGGGCTGCACTCACCCAGGCATGTGGGGCGTATTCCATCACACTCCTGACTTGTGCCTCGTAGATCGTGGACAGGCTTTGAGGAGTCAGGAGGTGAGTTACTCGCTGCAGTATTCCTGGCTTCTGGCCTGCTCTTGTAGCCAGTGTGTTTATGTGGTGAGTCCAGTTGAGTTTCTGGTCAATGATATCCCCCACTATCAACATCCTAGGGGTTTCAGTGATGGTAACACCTTTGAATGCCAAGGGATGGTGGTTAAATTGTCTCTTATTCGTGATGGTCATTGCCTGGCATTTGTGTGGCGCGAATGTTACTTGCCACTTGTCAGCCCAAGCCTGGATATTATCCAGATCTTGTTGCATTTGAACATGGATTGCTTCAGTATCTGAGGAGTTGCAAATGGTGCTGAACATTGTGCAATCGTCGGCCAACATTCCCACTTCTGACCTTATGTTGGAGGGAAGGTCATTGAAGCAGCTGAAGATGGTTGGGCCTAGGACACTACCCTGAGGAACTCCTGCAGAGATATCCTGGAGCTGAGATGATTGACCTCCAACAACCACAACCATCTTTCTACCTGTCAGGTAAGACTCTAACCATCGGAGAGTTTGCCCCCGATACCCATTGATTCTAGTTTTGCTAGGGCTCCTTGATTTCAAGTTCTGTCATTCTCACCTCTCCTCTGGAATTGAGCTCTTTTGTCCCTGTTTGAACCAAGGCTGTAATGAGGTCAGGAGCTGAGTGGCCCTGGAGGAACCCAAACTGGGCATCACTGAGCAGGTTATTGCTGGGCAGGTGCTGCTTGATAGCACTGTTGATGTCACCTTCCATCACTTTACTGATGATTGAGAATAGACTGATGGGGCAGTGATCGGCTAGATTGGATTTGTCCTTTTTTTTACGTACAGGACATACTTGGGCAATTTTCCACATTGTCAGGTAGATACCAGTGTTGTTACTGTACTGGAACAGCTTGGCTAAGGGAGCAGCAAATTCTGGAGCACAAGTCTTCAGTGCTATTGCCGGAAGTTGTCAGGGCCTGTAGCCTTTGCAGTAGCCAGTGTCTCCGACTGTTTCTTGATGTCCTGTCGAGTGAATTGAATTGGCTGAAGACTGGTATCCGTAATGCTGCGGACCACTGGAGGAGGCTGAGATGGATCATCCACTCGGCACTTCTGGCTGAAGGTTGCTGCAAAAGCTTCATCCTTATCTTTTGCACTTCCATCTTGGGCTCTTCCATCATTGAGGATGGGGATATTTGTGGAGCCGCCTCCTCCAATGAGTTGTTTAATTGTCCACCACCATTCACAACTGGATGTGGCAGGACTGCAGAGCTTAGATCTGATCAGTTGGTTGTGGAATTGCTTATCTCTGCCTATCACTTGCTGCTTTTGCTGTTGGCATGTAAGTAGTCCTGTTTGGTGGCTTCACCAGGTTGACACCTCATCTTCAGGTATGCCTGGTGCTACTCCTCGCGTGCCCTCATGCACTCTCCATTGGACGAGGGTTGATCTCCTGGCTTGATGGTAATGGTTGAGTGAGGTATATGCCAGGCCATGAGATTACAGATTGTACTGGAGTATGAGTTTTCCTGCTGTTCCTGGCCCATAGCGCCTCATGGATGCTCAATCTTGAGTTGCTAGATCTATTTGAAATCTGTCCCATTTAGCACGGTGGTAGTGCCACACAACACAATGGAGGTTATTCTCAATGTGAAGGCGGGACTTCATCTCCACAAGGACTGTGCGATGGTCACTCTTACCGATACTGTCATGGACAGATCCAACTGCAGCTGGCAGATTAGTAAGGATAAGGTCAAATTTCCCTCTTGTTGATTCCCTTACCACCTGCTGCAGGCCCAGTCCAGCAGCTATGTCCTTTAGGACCCGACCAGCTCGATCTGTAGTACTGCTGCCGAGCCACTCTTGGTGGTGGACATTGAAATCTCCCACCCAGAGTACATTTTGTGCCCTTGGCATCCTCAGTGCTTCCCCTGAGTGTTGCTCAACATTGAGAAGTACCGATTCATCAGCTGGGGGAGGATGGGATGTGGTAATCAGCAGGAGATTTCCTTGCCCATGTTTAACCTGAAGCCATGAGGACTTCTTGGGGTCCGGAGTCAATGTTGAGGACTCCCAGAGCAACTCCCTCCCGACTGTATACCACTGTGCTGCCCCCTTTGCTGGGTCTGTCCTGCCGGTGAGACCGGACATATCCAGGGATGGTGATGGTGGTGTCTGGGATATCATCTGTAAGGTATGATTCTGTGAGTATGACTATGTCAGGCTGTTGCTTGACTAGTCTGTGAGACAGCTCTCCCAATTTTGGCAGGAGCCCCCAGATATTAGTGAGGAGGACTTTACAGGGTCAACAGGGCTGTTTCAGCTGTTGTCCATTCTGGAGCCTAGGTTGATGCCAGGTGATCTGTTTGGTTTCATTTCTTTGTGACTTTATAGCAAGTTGTACAGCTGAATGGCTTACTGGGCTATTTCAGAGGGCAGTTGAGAGTCAACCACACTGCTGTGGGTCTGGAGTCACATGTAGGCCAGACCAGGTAAGGATGGCAGGTTTCCTTCCCTGAAGGGCATTAGTGAACCAGATGGGTTTGTCTGACATGATGGTTTCATGGTGAAAAACAGATTCTTAATTCCAGATTTTTTTTTTTTTCATTGAATTCAAATTCCACCGTCTGCTATGGCAGGATTTGAACCCGGGTCCCCAGAACATTTAGCTGAGTTTCTGGATTAACAGTCCAGCGATAATACCACTAGGCCATCGCCTTCCCACTTCCCGTTTATTCCCATTTTACTGTAATATTCGCTGAGTTTCTGTGTTATAGGAACAGCAGCTGCAAGGCGGTTTGGTGAGAGTGAGGGAACAAACTCTGCCTTCCCAGCGTGATGGCAGGCAAGAAGCGAAGGACCAGTCTAAAGAACCACTGCAGGTTAATGCTGGCTTCAGGAATGCACCAGCCTGGGATTCAAACAGCCTGCAGATTGAGGGAGCCAATCGCGTGCTGCGATTCACCAGGACAGTGAATAGCCTCCAGCCTGACGGGCAGGTGAGAGCTCGGACCTTGATTCAAACAGCGACTGAGAGTCTGCACATTAATGGGGTGGCACGGAGTGCAGTAAATGTCACTGGCTGAAGAGTTGTCGTCAATGGAGGGGTGATGGGCATATAAGAACTGAGTGGGTAGAATGGCAGCGAGTTTATAAAAATGGGAGAGTGGGTCTAACCGATCCTTCAGGGACTTTAAAGTTGCCATTTTGCAGTGGAGTTTTGTACACAGGGATGACAGAGTGGGGATCAGCATATCTTGAGGGAAGACAGTGGGGTTGGCGGGAGAGGTCTTTGTAATAAGATAAGCCGGATGGGGAGGAGAGGGGTCTGTCCCTTTTTATTTAAAGCTTGTCTCCATGATGATGATTGTGAAACTATCATCGATTGTCATAAAAAGAAATCTGGTTCACTAATGTCCTTTAGGGAAGGAAATCTACTATCCTCACCCATTCATGCCAACATGTAACTCCAGAACCACAGCGATGTTAAAGACAGAGAAATATAGAAATAGGAATAGGCCATTCAGCCCATTGAACCTGCTGTGTAGATCAGCATAATCATGGCTGATTGTCCATCTTAATGCCATATTTTTCTCTCTAAATCCCTTGATACCTTTAGCCTCTAGAAATCTATTTCTTAAAAATATTCAGTGACTTGGCTGTCTTTTGTGATCGGGAATTTCACATGTTCACTACCCTTTGAGGGAGGAAATTACTTCTCATCTCAGTCCTCAATGGCCTATCCCAAATCCTGCGACTGTGACCCTATTCTAGATTCCCCAGACACAGGAGATATCATCCCTGCAAACAGCCTATCCAGCCCTGCCGGAATTTTATATGTTTCAACGATCTCCTTTCTCATTCTCCTAAACGCCAGTGAATACAGGCACAGTGAACTCAATCTCTCCTCATAGGATAAATCTGCCATCCCAGGAAACAGTTTGGTGAAGCTTCGCTACTCAAGGAGGTAATGGCCTAGTGATATTTGTGCTAGGCTATTAATCCAGAAACCTTGGTAATAACGTGGGGACCCGGTTCAAGTTCCACCACAGCAGATGGTGGAATTTGGATTCATTTTTAAAAAAAAAAAAAATCTGGAATGAAGAGCCTAATGACAACCATGAAACTGGTGTTGATTGTCAGAAATACCCATCTGGTTCAACAATGACCTTCAGGGAAGGAAATCTGCCAATCTTACCCGGTCAGGCCTACATGTGATTCCAGACTCTCCGGAATGTGATTGACACTTAACTGCCTTTTGGGCAATTAGAGATGGCAATAAATGCCGGCCTAGTCCACATCCCATAATTGAATAAAACAAAACTCCCTCTATGGCAAGTATATCTTGCCAAAGATGCACACACTATTGTAGATGTGATCTCACCAATGCCCTGTTCAACTGCAGTAAGACATCCTTGCTCATATGCTCAAACCCTCTTGCAATGAAGGTCAACAGACCGATTTGCCTTCCTAACTGCTTGCTGTATGTGCTTGCTTTCAGTGACAAGTGTACAAGAACATCCTTCTTTCTTTATACATAACATCTCTCACCATTTAAATAATACTCTGCTATTTCATTCTGTTTTTCCTACTGAAATACATAACTTTACAATTGTCCATGTCATAACTGCATCTGGCCTGTCAATACTCACTCGCTCAGCTTGTGTATCACTTTGCAGCTTCACTACATTCTTGGCACCATTCACAATTCCACATAGTTTTGTGTCCCCTGCAGAATTGTAAATATTTGGTTTCCTCCTTGATGAGGCTTTGTGAGTACCTGGAGCACAAGCACTGCATTACCTCACTCTGCTATGAATAAGATCCTGTCTGGCAAACAATTCTCAATCTGTGCCAGTATATTACTCCCAATTTTATGTCCACTAATTTTGCACACTAATCTCTTAAGTGGAACTTTTTCGAAAGATTTCTGGAAATCTAAATGCACCACATCATCTTCCCACTCACCTACCTGCTCCACCCTTCCCACTGATGAACCATAATAACCCCTGACCTGCATCCACCTAGTTCCATCTCACCTACCCTCCCCCAAGTGCCACCCTCCTCCCTCTACTTCCAGGCTTCTGTCCCCTCCCCAGCCCTGAAAAAGAGTTCCGACCTGAAACATTGACTTTCCTGCCCCTCTGATGCTGTCTGACCTGCTGTGCTTTTCCAGTTCCACATTTTTTGACTCTAGCTTCCAGCATCTACTGTCCTTGCTGCCTCCACATCAGGTGGTTCTCTGTTATCTGTTCTACTCGTCACATCCCTCAAAAAAAACTACAGTATATTTGGCAATCGTGATTTTCTTTCCTAAATCCATGTTGGCTTTCTAATCCTGTTGATATTCTCCAAGTCCCAGTTATCACATCCCTTATGATAGACCCAGCATTTTCTCTATTCCTGATATTAGACTAACTGGTCAGTAATAATTTATTTTTCCTCTCTCCTTTTGTAAACAGTAGAAGTACATCTTGCAACCCTCCAAGAATCTAGAATCCACAGAATTTTGGAAGGTGACATTGCATTTTCTATTTCCATGGTCTCCTCCTCCTTTTGGAATGTAAATGATCAGATTTTGAGGATTTATCACCCCATATACCTGTAGTGATTATAACGAGGTCAGTGAGGAGGATGTCATAGAATAGGAGATCTCTGATTGGACCCCAGATTAACAACCCCAAACAGGGAGCCTTTGCTGACAGATAAAATCAGGAATATCAGATATCCTGTTCACTCTGAGGGAGCTGGATCAGTGTCAAGGAGTCTCCACAAATAAATAAAGCGTGACTTGGTGACGAGATACTGGCCTCTGTGGAGTTATTTCAATACCTTTATTGTTTCCAATGTTTAGATTGAGGATCCTAGTTTTGGATTGGACTACTTCACTTTCTATCCCGATGGAAAATTGCATTATCTTATTGTCACGTTTCCCTAAAGGACCTTGCACAACAAGATTCTAAATTAGCCCCTTCTCAATGCACAATATCAACTCTTGGATCATCTTTTCCCTAGTTGGTTCATGTGGTCTCAAAAACCAACTACAAAGTCCAGGAATTCATCTGGCACAGTATTACTTCTAATGTGGTTTGCCCAGTCTACATGTAGACTAAAATCACCCACGATTACTGTAGCACCCTTGTTGCATGCGTCTCTAATTTCCTATTTAATGCCATCCCCTACCTTACCACTACTGTTTGGAGGCCTATGGACAACTCCCACTTATGTTTTCCATCCCTTGTTGTTCCTTAGCAGCACCCAGACTAATTGTACACTGAGATTTTCTGCACCATTATCCTTTCTCACTGTGCTACTAATTTTATCTAACAATATCTCATAATGCATTTGGATGGTCAGTTAGACATCTTGGTCACCCTGTAGCTTTGTCTCCATAGTCACAATCATGTTGTACCCATTTATAACTATTTGCATTGTTAATTTATCTACCGTATCTGAAAGAACAGAATATTTGTGCTAATGTAACTTTAGACTTGCATTTTTACACATTTCTGTTCTAAGCCTCTCTTTGCTGCTTTCCTATTATTCCCTTGGCTTCCACTTTTTCTTTCTACTTCCTTGTCTTTGTTACCCTGTCTTGTGTCTCTTCCCTCAGGTTCCCATCCCACTGCGGTTGATTCCTAACTGGCCTTTTGAATGTCCTGGCAACCAACTCCATTCAACGATGGGCAAAACTGCTGGGCAGTGATGCTCACGTGAAAGAATAAATTAAGTTAACCTCTGTCTCCCAGAATCTGGTTTGGTTCAGTAAGATCACCACTCATTCTTTTAAAATTCAATATGTATAGACCCAGCCCACGTAATTTTGCCTCAAAAGTCAACTCCATGATCACCAGTGAACCTTCTCTGAATGGCCACCAGTCCAAGTGATACAAGTCTCTCCATTGGAAATCTGAGGGAAGGAGGTCATTACAAACTTCGAGTGAGCACAGTGCAGCTGATAGAATGCCAACTGAAAGTCATCATTATTTGATGATACCAAGGAGCAGGAGCTTCTGGCTGTCCTGGCGGCACACCCCCTCATGATCTGTTTACTTCAGTCCCATCTGTTTTCTTCTTTGGAAAGATAAATACGGTGTGTAGGTGATTAGGGTGAATGGGTGAACAGTTTGGAGCTGGAGGAGCACAGCAGGCCAGGCAGCATCAGCGGAAGATTAAAGTTGATGTTTTGGGTTGGGACGCTTCTTCAGAAAATCTTCTGAAGAAGGGTCCCGACCCGAAACGTCAACCTTCCTGCTCCTCTGATGCTGCCTGGCCTGCTGTGCTCCTCCAGCTCCAAACTGTGTTATCTCAGATTCCAGCATCGACAGTTCTTACTATCTCCTAGGGATGAATGGGTGTTTGATCACTAGGTTACGTGTGGGTTTTTGGAATCTTTGCTCTTTTAAGGTCAGGCTGCTTGTGTCATTGAACATTGGAGCAAATAAAACTCTCAGTTTGGCTGAAAGGGAGTCCTCCTTGTCCTCATGTGCCTTATTTGTGAGTGTATCTGCTGTCTGAATATTCTTTCTGTTATTAAAAGCTGTGTGAGGTTCTGTTAATGGTGTAAAGGGATTCGATTGGAAAATTATCAGCACTGTAGCATAGCCTTGCTTTACTGTCCACAGCACTCCCTTTTTGGCATAGTGTAGGAGTGTTATACTATTAATGATTAGGTAACTTTAAATCTGGGATCTTCAGAAATTTAAGGAATGTTAGTTTGATCTATGTGCTTTTTATGGATATTATTGCATCATTGTTTATTCTAAATGCTTTTTTTGAAATGAAGTAAAGTTTCTTACATGTTTAATCAGTCATTCATTTTTTTGTTGTTAATTATTCATTTATATACTTTTTTTTATCAGCCACCAATTTACTTGCAACAAATTTCCAAATGGACAATAACATTTTAACTGAAATTAAATCAAAACTTTGACATTCCTCCCAATGAGCCTCTTTGGGAATTTACTGGTCAGGTCATGCAGGTCAGGGAGATCAGAGAAGTCTCTGTTTAAGGTGTAGATCCTTCACCTCAAACATTAAGTTGCCTGTTTCTCTCCCCACCAACCCCGACTGACGGATATGTTTCAACAACTTACTTTTTTGTATCAGGATTTCTAACACTTGCTTTTTTTTTTCCAATTTGTGTTGTCCCAAGGTTTCTGAGGGAAGAAGCAAGGGGTAGAAGACAAAAAGAGAGAGAGAAAGAGAGAAGGAAAGAGCGAGGGTCAGAGACAGACAGAGACAGAGACAGAGACAGAGACAAGGAGGGAGCAAGGGGTGAGAGAGAGAGAGGTAGAGGGAGCCAGAAGTGAGAGACTGTGTGAGAGAGAGGGAAGGAGCAAGGGGTGAGAGACTGTGAGTGAGGCTATTCCACCCTTTGAGTGAGATACAGAAATCTGGGGAAATGTGCTCAATAGTCTTCTTCATTCCCAGATACTGGGCAGCAGGGAACTCCCGGTGATCTTTGTGTGAGCGTCCTGTATTTCTCTTTATTGACACAGGGTATGAAGGTAACTGCCAAAGAGGTGGATCAAGCCCACCATGTTGAGCAAGGTCACATATTTCTGGAGGGACCGCCTGCTGCTGGGAACCAACAGCATCTTCCAACAAAAGAGCAAGGGTTTGAGAGTCATCTCATCAGCCGACCGGCCAAGGTGAAAAGGTACTTCCCCAAGTCAGCCACATCCCCACCCACCACCTCCACGGGGAATGTAAAATATGTGATTGAATTGGTTTCATAGGCGGCAGTGAAAAGCAGTAAACAATTCCCACGTTGTATTGATATTTCTCCCAATTCCTTTGGAAGGCACTGACTCCGTACTCTGATGTGGGTTTCACTAGTGCTGGCCCCCCATCGGGTTACAAATCCCATAGACACGGACTCCCGTTGAGGAACCGGTCCCACAGACATGGATTCCCGTTGGAGTGTAGGTCCTCTTTCGTTGCCTTGCTGGATTCCTTTACCCAAACCCATCAAGCACCAACACAGCTTTGGTAAACTATGAAGAGATTTGATTAACTTGAAGATCTCAACAAATAGGTAGTCTGCTGGGATTCAGTAAGGGTCAGTACTCCTACACATCACAAACTGGCAGCTGATCACATGATACTATTTAATCTTAGTTCCTCGATTATTTACATATTCTCTTAAAGCGGTATTACAACGCCCATAGACACTAACACTGCCTGTGGAACAGGTCCCGTGGACATTGGCTCTTGCAGGATGCAGCATCTTTCACAAGCAGCTTTGATTTGGTGGAAGCTCCAGTGGGTTGATGTTCGGGAAGCTGAGAAAGTCGTATTTTCAGAACCTTGGCTGACCTGATTTGCCCAAGGACTGTGTTCTGTGCCTCCTGATGTGGGAGCATGTTGGGAACCGGCAATAACGTTTTCAATCCCAACTGGCCGGGATGATCAGCCAGGTGTTTTACATCACATTTAGCCCAAGTTGCAAAGACTTCTAAATAAAAACTGAAAGTACTGCGGATGCTGCAGATCAGGAACAAAAACAGGAATTGCTGGAAAAGCTCAGCAGGTCTGCTCTGAGGTAGGGTCACTGGACTCGATACCTTAACTCTGATTTCTCCACGTTAACTCTGATTTCTCTCCACATCCGATACGTTAACTCTGATTTCTGTCCACAGACGCTGCCAGACCTGCTGAGCTTTACCAGCAATTTCTGTTTTTGTTTGACAAAGACTTCTAATTGCCTAATTTTTCCCACTGTGTCTGGGGCCCTGCAGGAATCTTTTCTGGATCTCTAACCAGCAAACCCTCTGAAGCATAGAGGCACACCTCCATCCCAACTGGCACAAACTATAATCTGCAGTTATTCACAGACAGTAAATCTCCATTTGATATGATTTTCTGCTTTGAAAGCTCTGAGCTCATCATTTCCTAGTGGATTTGGACACAGCACAAGTCAGTGCTTTCCAGTAGGACAGAAGAAAATGAATTGCTGGAGGCAAATTTAAAAATAGGTATTTTGAAATGGTGTCAGATTTTTCCTTCACAATAATGTCATCATGATCCGAGAGAAGATTGCCCTGTAATTGTACAGCATCTCTGATAACCTGATGCATTGTTTAACTAGGTCACTCTGTCATTTCGTTCACCTTTTTCGTCTCGCTGGCAGGTGGGACGAGATTATTAATGACGTGAACACAGGCAATGATTTTAAACTGCGTGATCAGACAGATCAATTCCGAATCCCCTTGGTGCAGAATCGTCAAGAGCCTCTGACAGCCCCTCCTCAGGTCACCAGGAGGCAGTGGAGTCTGGGACTTGTGGACACCAATCAGCATGTAGATCGTGTGAGTGAAGTAAGAGAGGAGCCTGAGGAGGACGAGGAAGAGGAAGAGGAGACAGGTAGGGGACCACTGCTGCTGCTTGTTTATTTCCATGCCAACATTCACTCTGACAATTTAACACTAAGCCAGCCAAAAGAAAAGAGGTGATCCTTGCAGTGTGTCCCTTTTTTTTTGTGTTTTCTCTTGCTCTCTTTCTGACAACTCTTACTCTGTCCCTTCCCGCTCCAGTTTACCCTTCTCCCTCTTTCCATGTCTGTCTGTCTCTCTCTCTCTCTCTCTCTTTTTTTCATGCTTAACTGGATACTTTTGACATTGGGACTGCCGTCACTGGTTTCTCTTTCAAGGTAGCCAGTGCATCCTCAGAAAAAGCTACTCTTCCTTTTCCCACTCTGTTTCCTAACAGTTTGCCATTGGTCCTCTCCCCTTGCTAACCTACAAACTACCTCTCAACGACCTATTCCACAAGATGGAGGCTGATGTTTGCAGTACGTGGCTGGCTGTACGGTGTGGTCCCTTTTTTGACTGGTGCACAACTACACCTGTGAGTAACTAAAATGAAGGGTTGCTTTTGTGCAACCTGTTTACCTCCTGTGCAGCATATTTCTGATTGCTTGACTGCCCACCCGTGCAGCTTAGGGGAACACTTGGAGATTCAACTCACTGACATCTGCTGTAAATGAGTCACAGCTTCCTTACAGCTTGTGCATTTTGAGCTGAACACTGTCTGTGGGGATAACCTGTAGCTTCAGACTCCTCTATCTAACACTAATACACAGCAGATCTTGCGTCTCGTGTTAGACGTCCTGTTGTTATCTTTCATGGAATACTTTGATCATTCACTCACCCTGCATCCATTTATTTCCACTGTTAGAATGGAGATTGATGTCTAGATAGGCAATGTGACACTTTGACTGTACAAAGCTGTCTTGAGCAAAGAGGGGGCTGAAGGATGACTTAATTGAGCCCTTTATGATTATGAAGGGACTCGGTAAGGTAAACATGGAAATGTCTCTTCCTATGGGGAAGACCTAAACTAGAGATTGGCTTTTTAGTGACAATAGAGAATTCAGGAGAAATATCTTTACCCAGGGAGAGATTTAAATGTGGAACTTCCTACCACATTTGACGCAGATACATTTTAAGGGAAGCTGAATATACAGAAGGTTAAAGGAATAAAAAATCAGCCAGTCTGGTGGATGAAGGTTTACATGCAAGAAACACCAAAATGAACCAGCTAGGCCTGGTAGCCTGTTTAGTGCTGGAAATTCAATATAACACTCTATATTTCACAACTAAAACGATCCCAAAGAATTTCCCAAATAATGAAATACTGTTTATCTGTTGTCGCCATTGCAGAAAACTGTGAAAATCAGTTTGTATACAAGCAAAGTCCTTCTGAATCATTAAGACAAATGACCAAATGATTAGCTTTGGTGTTGACCAGGACCATTGAGGAGAACTCCTATGCCCTTCTTTGACTAGTGCCATGAGATCCTTACACTTGTCTGAATGGGAGCCAGAGTATCGGTTTCATGTTGCAATCTTCAGTTCCACTTATGTAATCTCTTCCAGTCCTATCCCTAATCCCATTCTCCCTTGAGCTCTCCCTCTACCAGAAACACTCTGATCTGATAACTCTAACATTTTGTGTTCCAACCCTCCCTTACGCCATCATTGCTAATAAAGCCATCAGCCAACTGGATCCTAATATCTAATATTCCTAAACCATTGGTTCTCCCATTGCCTTTAAAAGGAAGTGCAAAAATGCCACAAACGACAAATTCCTCACAAACTTCCCTTTCCCATCTTGCTCAGTGTCACTGTATCCTGTTACCTCACCCCTCCGTCACTCCATGTTCACTGTCACTGTTGCCCAGGCTCAGTGCCATTAGCTGGTTTTGCTTTAGGGCTACGGTGGGTTTTTGCTCCCATATCTGCTGACCAGAATGAGTATGTGAGGATGTGAAAGAGCCTGAAGAGGCAGGTTAGAGAGCTGAATCTGTTCATGGCTCAGATACCAACAATCTCTTCTTCATAGATAGTGACTGTCAACAGGAAATCAGCCACTGATGTAATGTCTCTACTTCTGCAATTTGTTTGGCCCAGAGAAGTAAAATTTAAAATACATATAATTCAAAGAACTTGGGTAATTACTGTAGTTTAACTAAGTCACAAAATTGTAACAACATAGAAGGAGGCCATTAGCGCCAGCTCTCTGAATAAGCATCTCACATGGTATCATTCCCCTGCATTTTCCCATAACCCTGCACATTGTTCCTTAACCATCTAATTCCCTTCCAAATGATTTGATTGAACCTGCCTCTGCCACAGTGCAGATTCTAACACTCATTGTTTGAGCTTGCTTTTTTTTTTCTCATATCATTTTTGCTTCTTTCACTAATTACTTCAAATCTGTGTTCTCTTCTTCACACGCGGGAACCTTTTCTCCTTGTTTACTCTGCTCGGACTGTTCATATGTCCCATGCTTCAATCAGATCCCCTTTAGCCTTCTCTTCTCTAAGGACAACAGCCCGGGTTCTCCAATCTGCCTTTATAACTGAGATCTCTCAACTTTGGAATCATTCTCATAACCCTCTTCCCCACTCTCTCCAATGCCGTCACGTCCTTCCGGAGTTGCGATGCTCAGAACTGGATGTGTACACATCCATGTTTTTTCTGCGACTGAACCTCCTTTTGAGTTGTTCACTTTGTTTATTTTGTTGTCTTTCCATGTTCTTTCGATCAAACATTTCACCTCTCATTTCTCTGCATTGAACTTCATCCGTCAACTGTTCGCCCACTCCACCAACTTATCTGTGTCCTTCTGAAGTTCTACTCACAATTTACAAAGCTACCACGTTTTTGTATCACTGACATATTTTGAAATTGTGCCCTGCGACCCAAGGTCCAGTTCATTCATATGTAATCCGGAAAAGCCTGGGGGTTCCACCAGTGACCCCTGGGGAGTAGCAATACCTCCAGCCCAAATAACATTCATTAACTTTGTCTCTCCTAGCACTCAGCCAATTTTACATCCATGTTGCTACTGTCCTTTTCATTTCATGAGCTCTAACTTTGCTCACATGTGTAGCATTGTATCAGATGCCTTTTGGAAAATGATGTACATCAACATCATTATCCACGTTGACTCTCTCTGTTAACTCATCTAAACATTCTAGTAAGGTAGTTAAACATGATTTTCACTTAAGAAATCCATGCTGCCTCTCCTTAATTAACCTGCATTTGCCTATGTGACTATTAATTTTCTCTTGCTTTTTGTTTTTGGAAGTTTCCCAACCACTGAAGTTAAACTGGTCCGTAGTTGCTTGGTTTATTCTTGTACCCTTTATTGAACAAGTATCTTTACAATTCTCCAGTCTTTTGGCAGCATCTGAATGTGAGGAAAATTGAGAAATGATCGCCAGTGCCTCTGCAATTTCCATTTGTCTTTCCACCAGTATGCTTGGATGCATTTCATCCAGTCCCAGTGCCTTGTCAAATTTAAGTACAAAAACCTATCCAATACCTCAATTTTAAACTCTTCAGTGACTGAATTCCCTGCTCTTTCACTGTGCTATGGGTAGCATTTTCCCGTATTCATTTATTATCCCAGCTATTCCCTCTGCCTCCATATATAAATTTCCCTTTTCGTCCTGAATCAGCCCCAATCCTCCTTTTTCTACCCGTTTACTGTTTATATAGAGTCATAGAGTTGTACAGCACAGAAACAGACCCTTTGGTCCAACCAGTCCACGCTGATCATGTTCCCAAACTAAACTAGTCCCACCTGCCTGTGCTTGGCCCATATCCCTCCACAACTTTTCCTATTCATGAACTTATCCAAATGTCTTAAACATTGTAACTGTACCTGGATCTACAACTTCCTCTGCCAGTTCATTCCACATATGAACCACCATGTGTGTGTAAAAAAAGTTGCTCATCATTGTCCTTTTTAAGTCTTTCTCCTCTCATCTTAAAAAAAAAAAAAAAAAATGCCCTCCAGTTTTTTGAACCCCACCCCCCCCCCCCCCCCACCTCAGGGAAAAGACCTTTGTCATTCACCTTATCTATGCTCCTCATGATTTATAAACCTCAATAAGGTCACCCCTCAACCTCCCATGCTCTATAGTCTCAATATATCACCAGTGAACTGGAAACACTACTTTGTGTCAGGACTTTGTATTGGAGAATTTATTACCGGGATAGTTCTTACTTTTAGCAATTTTATTGTTTTCACAATTACTAAATAAAATATAGATGATTAATCTTTAAATTAAGAGTTTTGGACTTTGGGAATGAGACGAAAAGAGTTAAAATGAGCTGAAACACTTAAATGGCTGCCAACATCACTTGAATTGTAAGTCGTCAAAGTTTAAGGAATATTCAAAGGAATATCCGATGACTGAGACTGATTACTATGTCCAGAAAAGACCATCCGGAGGAGACTTGCCTAGACATTAAAATTCATCATCTAGAATGTATAGCTCACAGTGAAATGTTCAAAATGTTTAGGGGCTGGACATCTTGACTGCTGTTTATGCCTGATCAGAAACTTAAATCTGAAACTCTACATGCAAACAGAAGAGTAAACTCCTAATGAAAAGGCCATGTCTACTCCCACTACACGCATGTGCCCTTAAATTCAAGCCTGCACACTTAAACGCCTTCAGCTTTAAACTTGCTGGGGCTGTGGAGGGGTCAATGGGGTGGCTGTGAAGGGGAGTGGAGGAGGGACTGTGGGGGTGGGATGGTTGTTAGGGGAGGGGTCTGTGGGAGGAGGTGGTGGGGTGGGTCAGTTCTCTCCTCTCCCTCACAATCACAATCACCCATCGCTCGACTGCCCCATCGCCAGCCATTGCCCTTATATGATCTCATCCTCACTTTCCCCGTCATCCTCATTCACACCTACCCCCACCTTCCACTGAACTGTTTCAGTGGTGTTTTCTTCTGTGCATGTGCAGTTCTTTGCTGCATAAATCAGAACGCTACGTCATGTAGTGTTTCTGGAATCGTGCGCGTGTGTTTCTAATTTTGCCAATCTATGTGAAGACTAAAGTCAGCCGTGATTAATCTATTGCCTTTGTACACGCTGTCATTGTCTCCTGATTTATTCTCTGTCCTACCCTATAGCTACTGTTAGGTGGCGCATAGATCACTCCCACTGTGTCGTTTTCCCCTTGTTATTTCTTCCATATGGATTCTATGTTTTCAGATCCAAGATAATTTCTTGCTATTGTACTTACTCCATCCTGTATTAACAAAGCTCCCTCAACATCTTTTCCTTCCTGCCTGTCCTTTTGAAAAGTGTCATACACAGTTTTCAGCTTTGATCTCCTTTGAGAAGTTGCCCATTCTATTTTTTGCCAATCAATTATTGAGTTGTGTTAAAAGAATCCCCTTTTGTTGATAAAATAGTTATCACCCTTAAATAATGGGAGCCACTGTGATATCTTTGCACAACAGATATAAGACGAAGAACTGCACATAGAAATTCAAACCCCAACAATTTATTCCGATGTACGCACATGACAATGTGAGGATGATACTCAAAAGCCCAACTTTCCATGATATTCCTTTGACTCTTCCTCAACTCCCTTTATCTTTATGAACCTCTGAGGGTAAAATTTTGATCTATATGTACAAATCTAATCTTTCCATTACCAAACATCTTGATTAAATTGAGCAAAGACTGCATTTTCTTTGTAACTCTTCCATATACTCCCACATATGATGTTTTAATTTAACTAAGTTAGAGTTCAACTTCAGACTTCTTTCTTTCATGTCATGACTCTTTCTGTCTGCGTTGTTTTTCATCCACTGACTGCTCTAAATATGGCTTCAGTAATGAAAACATTGTTCTCAGCTGTCTTCTAAGAAGCAATTCAGCTGGTATTCAGCCAGTAATGGCATAAGTTGTGTTACAATAAATGAATCATAAACTGGCGAATGTTTTGTTTAATGACATCTGAAGTTTATTTCAATTTGTATCTAGCAATTGTTTTAAAACTGCAAGCTTAACAATGAACACTTTGCACTCTGCTGCTCCATTTGAAACCGAATGATATGGTGTTACTCTACCAGCATTTCCATGAAATTTCATTTTTTTTTTTAAAAACAGACTTAAGGTCCACTGTTGGACACAATGTAATCTGGCAGCCTTTAGCAGCACTTAAACCATGCAAAATACATGGAGTTTGCGAGTTGTTTTCTATTAATCAGAAATCCATCAACCACTTTGGCTGTCTATCGCAATGAACAGCCCTTCAAATTCTGTAAAATCAACGTGACAACTCTGCTGCACTCTAATTGGCAGTTTCCACAATTGCAATTGTATTAGTGGAAGTTTTCCTATAGTGGACGTGTTCTATGCTGTTTAGCTATGTCTTCTATATCATCACTAGCCACTGAAGATAGCTTCTCACTAGATTCTTTGTCAAGTTCATCCCCAAGTATTATTGTGAAGATTATATAGCAACTGCTGTCTTTATCTTTCAGGAATTATGACACTGGCTCACCATATAAAACAATCTTTTTACCCACTGATAAGCCATTCTTACAAACAAAGAAATGCCTGATTTCTAAATCCAGAATCTGTGCTGGTGCCATTTGTGATATTGTTGTGCATTATTGTCAATTTGCTATCCTTATGATTTGTTCTACCAACGTTAGTTGCTGTATCTGGTAGCTCATTTCTGGGTGAGAAGAAACATATACATCCCCTGGTGGGCTCTACCAATAATGGGGATGGTAACCTAGACTTCACATCAGACCTTCTGACTGTATGAACTTAACCTCATATTTATAAACAGACAATATATGTCTACAGAAGACTTTGGAATTCCCTTTTTGTGTTCGTTGTCAGTCAGTCTTCATTCTCCCTCTTTGTTGCTCTTATTTGCCCTTTCAACACCAATCTGAACCTTATGTATTCAGCCTGGTTCTCATTTATATTTTCTACCTGACATCTGGCATAAACACACTGTTTCTCTGTCATTTTTTTTTCCTGGTTTTATTTGGCCTGTCTTCATTTGAAGGAACACAACTTGACCATACCTAGACCATTTCTTCTTTGAAGGTAGTTCAGCTCCCATTCTTCCTGCCAACCTTTGACTCTAATTTACTCAACCCAAGTCCATTCTTAACCCAATAAAGTTGGCTTTCCCCAAATATTCACTCTTACTCTGGGTTGTTCATTATTCTTTTCTATAGTCACTCTAAACCTTTATGATATTGTGATTACTATCCCTCCAACAGTTCTCCCCATTGACACTTGGCATATTTGGTTCATCTCATTCCAAGAACCACCTCTAGCTCCTTTCTCTTTGAATTGAAAGTGAGGAAATGGGAACTCAGTCCCAGCTGTGTTCAGGTGTAAACCCTTCAGCCTGTACAGGTCATATTTTCCACAGGGTATTTCAGTCTCTTCTGACATATTAGAATGGTAACAGTGTCTTCAAATTGAGTCCACGTTTATGACAAACTCAACACTCTCTCGTCTCTCCTTTCCTTTTCTGATCCAGTCATTTTTTTTTCTGCACCCCTCTGCCATCTCAATTCCCTTCCTGTCTCGCTCTCCCTCTTCCCTGTCTCTGTGTCAATCCTCACTCCTTGTTAAAACACCCACCACTGTGCCCCACCCTGCACCATAGTTCCCCTCCCCCCTCCCATACCCAGATCTCACATCCCCACTCCTGACCTCTGTCTTCCCCTTTGCCTGCTTCATTAGAATACACTTCTAATGCCACCTACTGGGCTTTTGTTGTTTTGCAGTCTGGCCATTTTTCTTTCGTTTGTTTTGTAGACAACGAGTTGGATACAGTGGATAAAAATGACGCCGAGAAGCTCTTACTACACACCATGACTTCTAGGAGTAAGATGATTGCACAGGAGCCATTGGTGGGTACCCTGACTGTGTTAAAAATCTATTCGAGGTTTCCAAATTGGGGGTCGGGGCCTCAAGTGGGATGGTAAGGCTGAAATTTTGGGGTCTCGGAGGCAGCAACAGCTTCAGGCAAGTGATGTCAGTTTGAAACAGGCATAGGCTTCAGTAATAAAAGACCAGGAGCAGCAACTTCGTATTGAATTAGTGTCTTTAATGTAAAGTGTCTGAAGGTGTAGCGCTTGGGACTAAAGACTAAGAACACTGTCAAACAAAATTTGACACTCCTCCACATTAAGGAGGTACCAGGACAGGTGAATGAAAACTTGCTCAAAAAGATTTTGAAGAACAAGAGAAACAGAAGCAGGAAAGAGTAGGCCATTTGGCCCCTCAAGCCTGCTCCTCCTTTCAATATGATCAAGGATATCAAGGGATATGGGGACAGTGCAGGGAAATTGCATCGAGGTTGTAGATCATCCATGATCTAATTGAATGGTGGAACAGGCTCAAAGGACTGAATGGCCTATTACCCACCTACTTCCTGTGTTCCTTTGGCTTCTGTAATTGCTGCTAAACTCCACTTTCCTGCCTGCTGCCCCCGCCACCCCACCCCTTGTAACTCCCCCTAGTAGATCAATAATCTATCTAATCTATCCAAATATATCCGATGACCTAGTCTCTACTACTCTCAGGGTAAAGTATCCCAAAAATAATGAGCTTCTGAAAGAAGAAATTTCTCCTCATCCGTGTCTTAAAGTATCTTGGACCTGTGACCCTTGCCCTGGTTCTGGATTTCCTGACGAGCAAACATCTCGGCATCTACCCTGTCAAATCCCTTCTGAATCTTTTAGTTAGATCATCTTTCATTCTTCTAAATTTCAAAGAATGTTCAGAAGAGTCTTAAAGAAGGAGAGAAATGTTTTTGAGAGGCATTCCAGAGTTTAGGACCTGGGTAGCTATGGGTCATTATTAAAATTATTGAAATTGGGGATGTGCAAGTGACCAGAATTGCAAAGCTACAGGAATCTTGGGAGAGATTACTGTCAGAATATGTTTTGTAGATTCCGTTGTTTATTCATTATTCACAAAATTCTCTTGTTTGTTCCAAGTTTATACAAGGTCTGTTCTTTAGATCTTTGTGAAAGTGTGAGTGAAACACAGGATAGATCCAGCAGCAAAACCAACTTGTGGAACAGTTCTCTGTTTGTTTTCCTTAACTTACAATCGGAAGCTCACCTACATAAATGAGGTGAGAAGACACTCCTGAGACCCACGTGAAAAGTTGCCTAAAATACAGAAACTGTAGGAGCTGGAACGAATGAGGCAAAAAGGATCCAAAAATGCCGTGCTGTCTGCCCATTGCAGTGCCAAGCTGTTAGGTATTTTCATATTAAAAAGCAGTTCTCTGCTGTTACTCATTGTGCCTGCCATAACTGAGTTTTGGTTTAGATCTGACTACATTGATTTTTGTTTTAAAATCAGTCCACATTTTGGGGGCCAAGCCTTCACACGCCCTAACGCAATGGAATTCCCTCTCTAAATCTCTTCAGCCTACTACCTCACTGTCCTGTTTGGAGCCTCCTGTGAAAGCCTTGGATGCCTAGCCTCAATATCTCCTTATGTGACTCACTAGCAAGTTGTATGCAGCACCTGGAGATGTTTGAGTGACTGAAAGCTGGTGCTATGTAAATGCCTCTTGTTGTTTATAGTTGTGATGTCATATGAGGTGCCTGTGATGAGCCTTTTTTACAGTTGGACATTTCGGGGAATTAGCTGAACCAATACAGAGTCACTTGCTCCACAATGTGGACTCACATGTCGGACAGGAGTTTACTTTTTGCCAAAGGTCCAGAACCTTGTCATATGGTGTCTCTGTGGTATAGCCCTTCACTATTTTTAATATCTCTTTTTTTCTCCTCTTTTTTGGAGAATCTTCTGGAGGATCAACTTATATACCCAGCTCCTCTCTTAATCCTCCAACTAAAAATAGCCACAACATTCTGTTATGAGATGAAGCCTCACTACTTCTCATCATGTCCTGTGAGCCAGATGGTAGGTTTGCTGCCACTATCCTGCTTCCTATTAGGGATCTACAGGGACTGATTGCATTTGGATGGTTAAGGAAAATCAATTGGAATTCTAATGATAAGAGGCTTGTGTCTGAAACAAGATGTAGTTTATTGCATCATAGTGGGTGGTGCAGCCTAGTTCCTCTGCAGCCTAGTCCCTCAAGATTATTGCACAGCAACAACAAGAACAACTTGCATTGATGCATCTCACTCTACAGAGTCATGAAGAAAAACAGAAATGTCTTGGATTTTAGTGTCAAGACAGCAATGTTTCTGGAATCTATTTGACACCTCACGGAAATTGGGCTGTCAACAGATGTATTGCCAGATAGCTCCCATTGCTTTTCCCACTCTCAGTCAGCCCAGATGCAGTTCTAATCTGTTGTCTCTTCAGATCCCAGATATCGAAGAGGATCCGGCTCAGGATCCCAATAACCAGGGAGAAGATGAGTTTGAGGAAGCTGAACTTGAGAGGCCAGATTTTGCAGGGAAGGTGCCAGGGCTAAAGGAGCAGCAGCTCCTCATTAAATCCCATCCAAAGGTAGGTGGAAACCTGGAACAGAAATATTTAAAAAGCCATTGTTCACCATTATACATTTTTACATATTCATTCGTGGGTTGTGGACGTCACCTGGGGAGGCTTGCATTTATATTCATTCATGGGATGTGGGCATCACTGGCATTTATTGCCCAGAGGGCAGTTAAGAGTCAACCACATTGCTGTGGGTCTAGAATCACATCTAGGCCAGATTAAGTAAGGATGGCAGTTTTCCTTCCCTAAAGGACCTTTGCGAACCTAATGGGATTTTCCTGACGATCGGCAAAGGTTTCATGGTCATTAGTAGAATTTTTCCTCCAGATTATCATTGAATTCAAATTGGTGCAATTCAAACCTAGGTCCCCAAACGTTACCTGGGACCGTGGATTAATAGTCTAGCATTTATACCAATAGACTATTGCCTATCCTGAATTTATTCCCCATCCCTAATTTCTCACAAAAGGAAATTGTGTACAGCATGTCTCCTTTTCCTCCATGTCATATCTGGCTCTGGTGCTGCCATGTTTTCTGTAGGTTTGTGTAAAGTGTTTGGATTTGTATGAAGCTGTGTGATCCTGCCCAGAGGGAGCTCCTGTCTTCACTAATGTAATCTGATGAGGATGGAGCCTTTTGAAGCACGCAGGAGGCGGAGGAGCAGATGGAAAGCATTGTACACAGCTGCCTGCAGATCCTCACGTAGCAGGTCTGTGCACTAATACTGACGGTGGCTGCACAGAATGCTGATGTCTCATTCATTTATGCTGTGAGATCAGAGACAAGGCAATAATTCATTCACTACTGATTCATTATCTGTTGAGAAAGATGTGCTGCATATTGTGATAAATATACAATGCTGAAGTTTATTTTCTTCAAATTGTTGAAAAGAATGAGTAATTAATGTGTGCCCATATCCTTTTGCCCTTTGCTTGTTTGTGCGTCATCCTGCCTACCTTCCCCACCCCCAGCCCCCTGCTCCTTGCCTGTACGTGCTTTAATCTCCACCCTCACTCCCCCTGCCTCATTTGTACTCCCCACTCTTCAGCTCTCCCACATTCCATACAGTCTTCACCCCCTCCCCCCATCCCCCGCACACCCTCTTGTAGATGGATCCTATTAACCTAACACCCTCTCTGCAACTTAAATCAGTGGCTGATCTAGTCAGTGGAAAGAGCAGGCATCTGAGCAAAGGTTAATGCTCCTGCTGGCATATGTAAAGTCACAATTCTCTCCAGTTTAGTGAGTGTGGAGAAGCATGGTTTAAAAATTTCTTTTTCTAACTCCAGGGAGTTCACGTCGCAAGTAAGGAAGGGGATGATGCTGTGGATGAGTATCAGGAAGATGAGGAGGCAGAGAATGTAAGCAGAACCTAGAGGCTTTATTCATTTTTTCAGTCTAAGGCTAGTGATATGAATTGACAGAGTATTTGCTCTGCTTGCCTGAGGTAGGCTTTCTCTGGAGGCTCCAGCAATAATTATGAAGCACCCTGGCTATAGTCAGACCCAATGATCATGCCATCAGAACTCCACGTTCAAATATATAAGTACCAGTAAAGATAATATTTATAAAGTATTCATTCTGGTTGGACTGTTTTATCTTGCTCTTTGCGTTTCTTAATTCTAATGCTTCAAGAAATGGTGATTGAGATGAGTCTCGGGGAAAGGGTATATCTTTCGCAAGTCGAGGAGCAAACTCTCCTTTAATTTGAATATCCACCCACCTCAACCCTAATGCAGTCCAGCTCAAATCCAATTAGCATGTTTTGTGAATTAGTATATAAATAGATGGCTTGGCACTTTCTGATATTTTGTGTCTGAAATAGTGTTTAGAAAATTCTTATTTGCTTTCATTTGTTGGACACTGACTTTGTATTGATGAGTTCAGAAATGTTTAAAATCCAATTAATAGATTCCAATTCCAAAATGGGTGCGGAAAAAAAAATGCACAGGCAGTCCCAATCCCTCAACATGGTTTGGTTGCGATTTTAAACCAATTATGATTTGTAATGATTGAGGACCGTGGTATCGATAAGTGGTGCTGTGAATAAGAGTTTGGCTGAACTAAGAAATGATTGAAATGGATGATTGATGAGATGATTTGTCCTAGAAATGTATGCTGTTATTCCTATGCAGGGATACACCAGGAGCAAATAATACCAATTGTTGCTAATATACCAGTGACTCATGGAAACCAGGAAGGAATACTGCAGGAAATAAAAGTTGTGCCAGGGATATTGGATTGGAAGGGCTCTTGTTTTTAAGAGAATATTATTAAAACATGAATGTTTAGGATGTTAGTACAACATGTGATTTAAGAGGGCGTTAAAAGTTCGACAGGAAAATGGTACATTGTTGGTATGCATTGCAAACTCTCCAAGCAGTAGAGATGCATTTTGGTACAACAGACAGGGTAGGGCTTATACAATTAATGATAGGGCCTTGGGTAGTATTGTAGAACTGAGGGACCTAGGGATGCAGGTACATAATTCTTTGAAGTTTGCATCACATATTGACAGGGTGGTTAGCACACTTCCCTTCATTGCTCAGTCCCTTGAGTATAGGAGTTGGGAAGTCATGTTGAGAATTTGTACAGACATTGGTGAGGCCTCTTCTGGAATACCATGTCCAGTTATGGTCACCCAGTTATAGGAAGGATATTATCAAGCTGGAGAGGGTTCAGAAGAGATTTACCAGGATGTTGCCAGGTATGGAAGGTTTGAGTTATAAAGAAAGGCTGGATAGGCTGGGGCTTTTTTCACTGAAGCGTAGGAGGTTGAGAGGTGACCTTACAGAAGTTTATAAAATAATGAAGGGTATAGATAGAGTTAATGTAGTTGTTTTTCCCTAGGATGGGGGAATTTAAAGACGAGGGGCTACATTTTTAAGGTGAGAGAAATGTAAAAAAAGACATGAGGCAATTTTTTTACACAGAGGGTGGTTCGTGTGTGGAATGAACTTTCTGAAGAAGTGGTGGATGTGGGTACAATTACAACATTTAAAAGACATTTGGGTAAGTACATGAATAGGAAAGGTTTGGAGGGATATGGGCCAGGAGCAGGAGGTGGGACTACTTAAGTTTGGGATTATGTTCGGCAGGGACTGGTTGGACCGAAGAGTCTGTTTCCATGCTGTATGACTCTATGATTGGGATTTGGAGTTGTGGAGAACCTATGGACCTTTCAGAGAGATGTGGAAGAGCAATAGGACAGTAATATAGCCTGTGATAAACTACTTCCCAGACCCTTATGTTTGAGTTAGTCCTGAGAAATGAAGTGAAGCAAGTAACAGACGTCAGAGTAGGTGAACACTTGGGAAATAGTGACAACAACACAATTCAGTTCAGAAGTTTAGATGTGAAATATATTGATTGGCAAAAGGCATCTGTTGAAATATTTTGAGGTTTATTATAAAGAATCATGTATAGCATGAGGAGATGCAAAAGCATGGATGGCATTGCTGACTGACAGGAAACCAAGATTTTTTTTAAAGAGTCAAATAAAATACTGCAGATGCTGGAGATCTGCAAGAGCTGCAGAAACTCAGCAGGTGTTCTTCGAAATTCAAAGAAGAGTCAAATTGGACTCAAAATGTGAACTCTTGTTCCTTTCTCCACAGATGCTGCCAGGACTGCTGAGTATTTCTAGCACTTGCTGTTTTTATTTTGCTAACGACTGTTGCTTGGAATGAATAAGGATTGAAAGTAGTGTACACCAGCAGTCAGTGTTGGCTTGAGTCCAGTTTTGCTCTCTGTATGCATTAGTTTGGATTTAAATGTAGAGACTACAATATTAAAAAATTACAAGTGACACAAGTTGAGAGGATTTATCAAATGACCAAGATGGTTCAAGAAAAAAATTAAAAGACTTTAAACAGGTTGACAAAATTGACAGATTAGTAATAATTTAGGATAAAGGACTGGAATGATGAAAAATTATGATTTGAAGTATACCTAGACCCTGAAGAACATTGGTAAAATGCGAAGCCTAGGAGTTTGCCTAGATAATTCCCTCAAAATGTAAATAGGTTAAAAGCTATAGAGAACATAGAATGTAGATTCAACAGGGTGCTGATAGGGATGATAAATTACAATTGTGAAAGGAGACATGAGATAATTGGAACCGTTTTTACTGGAGACTAGAAGACTAAGAATAAATTCAATCCAGTTTGTAAAGTTAAGAATTTTAATAACCTCAATAAAGAAAGACTTCTTCCTGGCATTAGAAGGTCAATGATGAGCCACCCTCAACTTAAAATTGTCATAGAAAGCAGCTAGGAGAAATTTTATTTTTGCTAAGAGCATGGAATGCTTTGCTATGCTGTGATCAAGGCACAAACAATTGCATCCTTTATGGCAAAAGTGATGATTGAGGCAGAGCAAGATATGGGTGTATTGGGAATACAATTGGTATATTAGTTTTTCATTGATTTAGCAGTGAATGGGATGAATCGCTGCCTCCTGTAATGTCAACATGTATACCATGGTAAATACATTTTGATTTAAAGTCTTCTGTAACATGGACTGGAATAAAACTTAGAATGTAAGTGTCTAAATATCAGAAGCACTTGTGTATAAAGTACACAGTCCTTGAGAAGAGGATCAGTTAGAGTTCCTTATTTCATTCAGATTTTGACATTTACAATATTATTGTTGAATGGTCTTGGGCTTGACACTATTCCAATTTTATATTTTTTTCCATCTTGTTTGCTTCTTGGGATAGGAAAACAATGGAGGGGAAATGGAGGATGACCATGAAGATCCTGAACTTATCCACCAAGAAACCAATGAAGATAATGCTGGAATCCCAGATGATGAAGCCGATAAAGAAGAAGAATACTGAAGGGGCTGATTTCAGTGGTGTGTATATGGGATGATTTCTTGTTCCAATAGTGAGGAGTTGGTGAGCAGAATTGAAGACTGAAGCTGTTGATGAAAGCAGGATCCTGTCTCGGTGTGCAAGGCTAAGGCTGACCGCTGGTATCTCAACTTTACATTTTCCCGAACTGCATTTAACTTCCTGACAGCCATCCTGACCACAGTGATTTTGCTTTGCCTGATCATATTGTCTGTGTAAACATGATGGACTATGGTGAATATTCAGGACTACAGATGGATGAAAGATATCTGGAGAATTTCTCGTTAATAGTAGCACCTTGGGTGAACTAGAAAGGACAAATAAACAGTCAGTTCAGTGAAGTAATGAATTCATTAAAATGATGAATGTATAGTATCTTGACTGTGAATTGTTCTGTGGCCCAACACGTTACATATTGGATTATTTTTAAGATACGAGTGTCAGAAAGCTTTGTGTGACTTGCACATATTTCAGTGCAAATGATTCCATGGAATCTGGAGAAGGTTCTATCCCAATGAGTATGTGGTACACCAACACAACAAAATGAACCTATAGACCGGCAGAATTTGTTCTTTTCTGTTTTACAATATTGTTGACGGTAAACTTATCTGCACATGATTGGACTCAGCTTATTGTTTACCCAGAATTCAAATGATGTGACTCCTCACTTCCCTCTGTCCTCCTTTTCTTCCAGAAGCTATAAGCTCTTAAACTCAAATTTAGTGTCATCAGATTACTGCTTATTCATTTTCACTGTCATCTCTCCTGCTGAGATATCCCTGACATTCATCTGGGTTTCTTAATTTAAATCTAACCATAGAATAATGGAGCTGCCTAGTGATGTCTATCTCTTTTCTAAGCCTGGCAACAGCACAAATTTTGTACTATCTCTCATTATTCCTGTTCACCTGGAGTAGGAGAATATCACACAATCAGCTGGTGGAGCTGGCCTGAGGGGTCCAGGATCTGGTTAGGAGCAATGGATTCTGTTCAACCTCTTGGTGCATTTGGGTACATTTACCAATCTCTTCAGTCTACGTTGTAAGTGAGGCCATGATTGATCCAATTTTTTAATGGAGACAACCAAAATATTTTGATATTTCTTTGTTCCTTCCTAATGTTGGGAAAGGAAGTGTTTTAAATGGATCAAATTGACAGATTCTAGCCAGTAGCTATGACATTAGAATAAGTACAAGACCGTTAGCAAGATACAAATTGCACTCTGTTGCATAAATCTGTGTGCGTCAGACACATGGAATGTATCATTATGCACAAAATTCAAATTTTGTGAGCAAAACTAGGTGCCTTCTGCAGCCGTTGTGGAGCAGACACTGTCTCACACCAACAAAACTTTGCAGATCCTCCAACATCACAGTGTTTCTAATCTGTAATCTCAGACATTTTATGCTGTGTATTTTCTGTGCACAAAGTCCAAATATTGAGATTTTTTAACAATTGAAATAAAATGTCATTGCCCATGTACAATCTGGCACTTATTGTGTTTGTGTTATGAGTGTGTGAAACATTGTAAATAATTTGACAATCATCTAACTCATTTTCACAACTAAATGAAATTCCTCTATGTTTCTCCTCTTGCCAGAACACGAATAGCAAAACTAGGGCAACTTTAAAGAATAAAGAAGCACAACAAAAGGGATAATTTGAGAGACTTAAGAAGAACATGGGGAAAAAATTGTGAAAAAGGAGCTATCAATTTAAAAATGGTTTTTCTATTGGACAGGAGTTTTAACTGAATAGTTCACTTTGATATGGGGCTTCGGGTGGAAATGAATGAAATGGTCAAGTTGCTAAATAAAGGTTATTCCTCAGTTTTTGTGGTGTGGTGGGGTGGGGTGGGGTGGGAATGGAAATTTGGGTTATAGAAGGAACAGGATTTGATCCAGAACAGTTGCTACTAAAGAAGTTATGGAAATTAAAGTACATAAGTAATGTGGACCTGATCGTTTACATTTGAGAATCCTGAGAGAAGAAAGTGGAGGACACAAAATTTTTGTGTCTCAAGTCTGGAAGGTAGCAATGTGTCATTTTGAAGATGGGTGCAACAATCAGCTATACGGCAGGTTTTCTTTTAACAGTTATTAGTAAATTGCTTGAGTCTGTAACTATGGGTTAATCAGGGTCAGTCAGCATAAACTGCTAAAAGTCAAGTCATATTTAAACAATTTTGTCATTCTTTATCCTGTCTACAGAGTTATATTAAATTAAGAAAATGCAGTGGATATATTTAGATGGATTTTCAGACGATATTTGATGTGGTTCCAAATAAGAGATTTGTCACATGGATAATAGCAACTTAAAAGGGTCACATTGTCAGCAATGTACCTAGAAAACAAAGAGGAAATAGTTTATCGAATGGTGGGGTTATATTAGAGTCTGTTAGAATTCCGGAATTAAAATATCATTGTAAGACGTAAACCTGTAAGGATAATACAAATAGGTATGAATTAAACACACATAACACTAACGAAAAAGTTTGCAATAAGGCAGTTTTCTTTCTAAAAAATACCAAACAACATTTAATAATTCAGAGGACAATACTGAAATTTGCTGAATTGAAGGAGTTTAGTAAAATTCGTGATGGTTATGGAAAGGCTGGATTTCCATAGTGCAATTCAATAACTTGTACCCTTTCTACAGCACTTTTTTTTTTCACGTGACTCTGGATCCGCATGGTAGATCCTCCAGAGCGATTTGGGAATCCTGTTTAATACAGTTACACATGGAAACCATTCTCCACCGGAAACTACAGCTCCGCTCCATTCGGGCCACGACCCAATTGGACTCATTCTGGCGTCTTCGAATGATAGAGCCGGTTCAAGGGACCGAATGGCCGTAATTTCTTTCTTTCGGTGACAGTGTTACGGCAACTTTCAGAAGGTTCTGATGAAAGGCCGCCAACCTTTAACGCTTGGTTTCTCTGTCCACAGATTCTGTCTGACCTGGTGAATATTTTCCAGCGCCTTCTGTGTTCATTTCTGATTTCCAGCATCCGCGGGTGTTACACTTTTGGTTTGTTTTTGTTTAGATACGCCGCAGAAGCTGAATTCTCAGCGCTGAGCTTGATTAAGTTTGTCTGTCACAACAGTTGGAGCTTTCACTGGTACTGTTGTGTCAGCTGGAACACGGCTGACAGCTTTGTTACGATAAATGTGATGTTTATTATTCAGCGGGTCACAGCTTTTGTTAAAATCGCGAACTGTGCGGGTTTCTGAATCAAGTGCTACACCGGAACATTTGAACAACCCGGGTTTAAATTACGAAAATGTTTGTCACTAAATTGTGTCACTGTATTCCAACTGCCTTGTTACAAACTGTTTTCGTTAGTATTGTGTGTGTTTAATTCATACCTATTTGTATTATCCTTACAGGTTTATGTCTTACAATGATATTTTAATTCCAGAATTATGTCCATTTCTTTGTGGGGGAAGAGTTGCTGGGAGACCTCCCGTGGATGCCATTCTCCCACGGGGTGCATTTTAAATTTAATCATCACTGCAGCACTGAGCCTTGTTTTAAATTTGAGGCTGGAGTTGGACATTTGGCCATCTCCTAATTTTGCACAGAGAGAACTGAACCACAGAGTCCCTTCTAAACAGTCCACATCGCCTGGCAGGAATTAGGTCCGGTGGACAAGTTCCCATCCTTTCCTTTAAGGGCCTGGGATCTTATTGGTGTTGGTTAGATTGTTAAATAAAACACAAACAAGGTTGACAAGAACCAAGAGCTCAGCTTTTACCCAAGATGTTTGGGAATTTATCAAACAGCAGCTAAAGGACTGAAATCTGGAATATTGTAATTTGTGACACCGGTTTCTAGGACTGGGTTTGTAATATTCATGTCTGTAATACTGTGATGTTATATGAAGGTTTAGAATATTGAAGTTTGTAATAGTATGGTCAGAAACAATGACATGCAAGAGGACTTGCATCATGTCATGAAGTCATAAACTGAATATTTTTAAAGAAAACAAATACAACTTTTTTTTAAAAAAAACAAATTGTTTCCATGTCACTAGATCACAAAGTTAGCCTGGAGGGTAAATTTTTCAGCTCCATTTGGTATCATTTCCCCATCAACCCTGAAATCAAACTGCCACTTACCCCTGTACAATTAAGTGGGTCCATTGTCCTGATCTACAGTAACTCTTCCTCTAATCTTTCCAGTTGTTTAATTAACCCTGTATAAATACACCCTTCCCAAATCTGTTCATTCCTCTTCTACGCTGACATATCTGCAAGTATCTTACTGGACTTACTTTCTCTATTCCATTATGTAGCATCTTCTGGAAAGTTCCATCAATGATCTTTCTCTTTGTTTGATGAGACCTGGTTTATTGCTGATCCACATATCATGGTTCTCCTAAACTGCACTACTACAGGATCCAGGTGGTCTCTTTGTAACATGTACAGCAGCAGGAGCTGTACCCATTTCTTCAGGCACCAGCTTCCCAGAACTACTCTGAATATTCCAGATAGAGTCATAGAGCATGGAAATAGACTAGTCCAACCAATCCATGCCGAACATAATCCGAAACTAAACTGGTCCCACCTGCCTGCTCCTGGCCCATATCCCTCCAAACCTTTCCTTTTCATGTACTTACCCAAGTGTCCCTTTTAAACATTGTGACTGTCCCCACATCCACCACTTCCTCAAGAAATTCATTCCACACCCGAACCACCCTCTGTGTAACAAAAAAAAAAAAAAAAAAATTTGTATCTCATGTCTTTTTTAAATCTCGCCTTAAAAATGTGCCCCATAGTCTAGAAATCCCCCATCTAGGGAAAAGAGACATACCAGTAACCCTATCTATACCATTTTATAAATCCCTCAACCTCCTATGCTCCAATGAAAAAAGTCCCAGCCTATCCAGCCTTTCTTTATAACTCAAACTTTCAACACCCAGCAGCATCCTGGTAAAGAAGGGTCTAGGCCCGAAACATCAGCTTTCCTGCTCCTCTGATGCTGCTTGGCCTGCTGTGTTCATCCAGCTCTACACCTTGTTATCTCTAGCATCCTGGTAAATCTCTTTTGAACCCTCTCTAGCTTAATAACATCCATCCTATAACCGGGCGACCAGAACTAGACACAGTACTCCAGAAGAGGCCTCAACAATGCCTTGTACAACCTCAACATAACATCCCAACTCCCAAACTCAGCCCAAGATCTGAACAATGAAGCCAAGCATGCTAAATGCTGCCTTCATGACACACCAAATGTAGGTTCCCATCACCATTCTACTCCAGATATAGGTTCCTAGCAGCATACCCAGTACACCAGCTTCAGTGTTCCCAGCAAGATACTTAATACATCAGCTGTGTTACACTTGCAGTACATAATTAGGAATGAGGAGTAAACACTTCTAGGTCTCTCTCAGTTATTCCTTCTTTACTAAGTTTTATCCCACACAAAACTGCAGCCAGTCCTGCTTCTACTTCCAAAATGCTGAATTCTCCTCGTAATGAAACTTTGGATGTAGCACTAATCCAGACCAAGATGGTCCCTAGCTTTTGATCCCAAGCCTGTTAAAGCATCTTACAATGGCAACCAGTAAAATAGCTAGTTCCAGAGCTTCTTTGCCAGACAGACTTCAGAGGCTGTCCAATCAATCGTACACATACATAGTGCATTTCCTGTGAGGACAGGACTGGGTCTTCTGTGATGGATCTTCATTGTTGGTACACTGGTCAGCACGTTCAAGAACAAATGGAAGATGATTGTTGTATGTAAAAGGATAGTGTTTTGTGCTGAGCATGATTCAGCCCTTAGGACAAAAATTAATTAATGTATTGATTTTCAGTTGAGAATTTGAAATGCTGTAGGAAGCACAAAAGTGGAAAACTGATAGGGCCAGTCTGGTTATTGGAGGTATTTCTAACACCTGAATTGTAATAATGAGGTTTGTAGCATCTGGATTTATAGTATATCTGTTACATTGACACTGGAAATACTGCATGCAATAATGAATATTGTAAAGTGAGGACAGCTCTTGAAATTACCAATTAATAATTAAAGAGTTCTACATAGGAAAGAAATAAATTGCACTCTCAAGTAGCTGATCTGTGCATGACTGCATTACTCGAGCGCGAATGAGGGATGTGAGAAAATTAAAGATTGACATGAAAAAGAAAAATCAGAGAAACTACAACAGAATCAGTACACTATAGGGGTTCTACACAAAAAGGCCAAATTCTGTAGAATTCAGAAAGAATGGGATAGAATTAATGTGTAAATCAAGAGCTCTATATAGTATAGTAAACGGCTAAGTCCTGTGCAGATTTCAAAAGTACAGAAGTGGGGCTTCAGACTCAGGGAGATCTGCAGTTGGTAATAATACAAAGTAGGTTAGCATGGTTCATGTCAGGTTTCTGAACCTCTGAGAAAGTTGATTTGATTTCAGGTGATAATTGAAAAGACTGGAGCATTTATTGTCTTAACAAATGGCTTTGCTCAGAACAGATTTTCCTAATGTAGCAAGAAACTAGGTACTGAGGTAACCATCTTGAGTCATAGCATCCACCAGTGTTTGAGTGCATGTGTGTGTTTTAGTTCTGCATTTGTATGTTAGTATTTTTCTGTCTGCATCTGTCACACTCTCCATGTATTTGTATGCCTCTCCAAGTATGTGGCTGCACCTATGACTCTCTGCACATGTATATGTGTTCATGAGTATGCATTATTGTGTATACCTCTCCACATATTTATTTATGTGAAACATTGATGGGGATGGAAGGACCACGTTGACCATCAAACCTGCCTTATGCTCTTGGTTGGAGATTCTTAATTAACACCACCCCTGACCACCTTCCCCAACCCATATCTCCCCCCTCTTCTCCCCACCAACACACTCATCCCAAAACATGCCCCCCCAATTACATAATCTCCTTAGAAGCACCAATAACAAATAAAATGTGAGGGCCGATAAGGGGAAAAGGGCTCTTTGAAAAAATCTCTCCCCAGCACCATCAAACTATAGAAATCATTTAATGTGTCATGTGGACTACTAAATGCTACCTATTATGGTAGATGATATTTTGCATGATGCTGCAATCTCTGCTCCGGTCAGGAACTTGTCCAGCTCCCTCTTGAAGGTATACAAAGAATCAACAGCCACAACTTCAGCTAGTGCCATTTGCCAGCATTTGGCCCATATCCCTCTAAATCCTTCCTATTCATGTACTCATTCAGATGCCTTTTAAATATTGTAAATATTGTAATTGTACCAACCTCCACCACCTCATCTGGCAGCTCATTCCATACATGCACCACCCTCTGCATGAAAAAGTTGCCCCATAGGTCCCTTTTAAGTCTCTCCCTTCCATGCCTCTCATGATCTTATAAACTTCTACAAGGTCACCCCTCATCCTCTGACACTCCAGGGAAAATAGTCCCAGCCTATTCAGCCTCTCCCTTCTTTTAGAGATCTCTAATACATTACCTTATATACATTTCTGTACACAAATAACCGGTCCTTGAGGATATCTGAGCAGCTGTTCTTTAAACCTGGAATAATTCTCACTGCTCTTCTATGACTATTTCCAAGGCCACTATATTACCCATCAAATCAACTAACCACAAGATTCCACATATGGTCTATCCAACAATCTGGATGCTTCTGTGTTTGCACACAAAGATTTGTAATATTACACGTCCCTATGTTTGTGTGTGTATTTTTGAATACATATTCCTGTGCAGGTATGTATAAGGTTCAGGAATGAGTGCAGCTGTAAAAACCTTTAAGCAGCTTCAACACAATCCAAGGCAGAGCAATCCACCTGATAGGAATCAGCCACAAGAATTCCATCTAACATACCAGGGCTTGTTCAACAACAGCTCCCAAACTACTGACCTCTACCATCTGGAAGAACAAGGGCAACAGGGCCTTGGGATTTGTCAGTAACTGCCCAAGTCACATACAATCCTGATTTAGAAATATACCACTGTTCCTTTATTGTCACTGGGTCAAGCTCCTGGAAGCCCCTGCCTAACAGTATTGTAGGTGTACCGTCATCATATGGGCTACAACCTGTTCAAGAAGCCCGTTCACCTCTGGTTTTTCAAGGAGAATTCAGGGTGAGCAATAAATATTGGCCCTGGAAACATGCCTACATTTTTGACTGAATGAGGTGTGTGTGTGTATTTGCATTACCTTTCTAGCTATATATCTCTGTGGGTGCCTCACTTTTTCGTATGTGTTTGTCTCTGTGTGACAGATGGGAAAATGTAGTTTAGTGATGTCAGTAGTATTGAAGGAAGTGTCTAATTAGTGCACAAATGAGTGTTTGGGACTGAATGAGGTTTTCTTTTTGTAAAACAGCTGTCGCTTGACATTTGTTCTCTTTCAGTTGTACATGGTTTGGGACCTACATAAGAACTATTTTGTTCTCATCTCTTTCAGAGCATTATTTGAGCTTTAGCCTTTTCAAGATAGAGGGAAGATCATCAGAACAGCCCATTGCTTTAAGTTGTAATGTTTGTGTGGGTCTGTACGTGGACATCCGATAATATTAAGGTCAGGCTCAGCTGTGATGAGCTCTATGAGCTCAATACTTTATAAGCTCAAACTTGAACTATGGCCATTTGGGCAAAGTACTGGAGGATGTCAACCAAAGCACAGCAGGAAGCCACACCCTTCACAAAAGCAGGGGAAGAAAAGGGAGGACAACAAAATAGTCAGAAGCACTGGCTCAAAGCAACTGAATGGGACACTGACACTGACTGTTACAGTGGGATCAGATGCTGTACTGATCCAGGGAAGCAATAGGGATCAGTTGGCAGAGTGGGTGAAACAGAAGTAACGTTTGAGTAGATTGAGTGTTTTGGTGTGTTCTGATGGAACACTGGCACTTGGATCAGATGGATCGAGTTGGAGCGGAACTATGCAAGACCATGGGACAAGTTGGTGCAGAAAAAACGGTTGTGGCTGGTGGGTACACAAAACAGAATAAGATATTGTGCACGCAGGCTATTCGGCCCAACAAATCCATGCCAGTGTTTACGTTCCACTTGAGCTTCCTCCTATATTTTCCCATTAAAATCGATAATCGCTCACTTGGACCTCGGTGTTGCAGCAAGGCTGAGGGGGATTGGGTATTGCAGGGGGGAATGGGCGGTGCTGTGGAAGTCAGCTCTACAGGTTCGACCCAAACCGGACGCTAATTTCCTAAAACAAAAAAAAATCAAGGCAACGGAGACGATGGTTGAGCCGAGAGACTGCCTGGGAATCCAATACAGACGCTTTCTATTGGGAGTGAGTCTTTGGAAAGGTCAGGACTCCGCGAGTTTTGGGCGGGTTGCAGGTTCCCTTCGCATTGCTGTGCGGACACGGTTTGTGACTGCAACGATGACCATGAATTCGGTTTCAGAAAGGAATTCAGGTGAACATCCATCCGAGACACGACGCTGGAAGCTGTGATTGCGAGGAGGGTGGGGACCTTGGAAACCGAGTGCCCGGGACAGTGGAGGGGAGGAGAAGCTGCTTGTATTTGGGAGGGAGGGAGGTAGAGATTGAGCCCAGCGTGGTGTGTGCCTCTTTTCCTCAGCCCAAGGACATCAGATGGACTGAAAGTCAAGCCAGTGACATCACCGAGAGGCAGGGAGAAAGCAGCAGCAGATCCGGAGTGAGAGAGAGACAGAGAGACCTACACACACACACACACACACACAGGGGGAGAGGAAGCGCTGGCTAAGGCCCCCCAGGCAGGAGGATGTGAGTGAGATACAGAGACAAGACAGAGACAGCGGAGGCTCCGGTGCCTTTCCTCGCCCCCCCACCCCCCGCCCTCTCTCCCTTAGCCCAGGGCTCCCGGGAAAGCAGGATGCTGCTCTTACTGCTGCCGCCGCTGCTTCTGCTTCTGTGCTGGGGCGAACCCCAGCTCCAGGACGGGGACGCCCTGGTCGGCGGCTCCTGGAACACCAGCCGGCCCGAGCCGCTAAGAGAGCCGGCAGGAGCAGCAGGGGAGACCGGGAGAGCGAACAACAGCGAGCCCGAGCCGCAGGAGGAGACGGGCAGCGGCCTGGAAGACAGCACTTGCGCCTATAAGGTGCTGCTGAACGGGAGAGGAGGAGGAGGAGGAGGGAGCAGGATTTGTTTCAGGAGCACGGACAGCGGGTTCCGCTGCGGCCCGGGTAGCTGCCGGGTGTACCGCTCGGGCCCCTCGCTAGTGGCGAACGTGCTGGCGAACAGCAGCGTCTTCCTGCAGTGGCGGCCCAGGAGCGTGCGCCACCTTCGGGGCTTCCAGCTGAACTGCAGCTGGAGCGGCCTCTACACCCAGTTCCAGTGCGAGAGCGTGCAGCTCGGTGTCGCCTGCCGCGATTACCTGCTCAGCAGCGTCCACGACAGCGTCGACTACCGCATCTGCCTGCACACCCTGTACAGCGGCGGCGGCGGCTCCCGGCGAGACGAGGAGTGCCTGCAGTTCCGCGCCGAGCCCGCCGGCATGCAGGACATTGTCATCGCCATGACCGCCGTAGGAGGCTCCATCTGCGTGATGCTGGTGATCATCTGCCTCTTGGTGGCCTACATCACCGAGAATATCATGCACCCCGCCTTCGGCCGGCCTTCCGCCAAACGGGGACGTGAGGATCACGGGCTCACTACCTAATACACACACACACATACATAAAACTCTCATCTATTGAACTATAGGAACAAACAAACAAAAACTTTTCTGCAGCAGTAATCAAAAGTAGCCAGGAGGAGGCAGAAGAAAAGAAAAGGAGAAAGTTCACTTGGAATCAGCCCTCTCCCTGCAGGTTGAGGAGAGACAGCGAAATAAAGAGACGGGGGAGAAACACACACACACACACAGACTGCTGGCCCCTTGCCCTTCCCAGGAGGGATCTGACTGCAGCGTCTGGACTCCAGGGGAGGGGGTGTTGAGGGTCGACAGACACAGACAAGCGGCTCCACTTTGGGTTGAAATGAACACTGGCAGCAGCCGGCGCTGTGTCCCACTCCAAAAGTGACTTCCTGCCCTTCTCGGTGTCAAGGCGGCCTTGGAAACGGTGACTGGCCAGAGGGAGCGGACTGCAATCGCTCTCTGACACGAAGAAGCACAACCGATAACATGAGAGGAACTGGATGAACACAGCAGGCCAGGCAGCATCAGAGGAGCAGGAAAGCTGACGTTTCGGTTCGGGA